GTTAGCCTCGGGGTCGAAGGGCGATAGGTGCGGCCTTCCCACAGTGGCCTCAGGGCCTTCCTGGGGGTCGGGGGCTCCTAGCACCGTCTGACAAGCGGGCAGAGGGCCAACTCCGGTCGTCGGGGGCCTTGGGCCACCGTTCGGCTCGGGAGCCTCTCCTCCCTGCTCTCTCCCGGGCCAAGTCGGCACAGGGTGGGGAAGCGTGAAATGAGAATTGTTCTCATCGCGCTCCACAACCAATGTCGCACTAACTACTTGCGGGGTCGCCGCTAAGTAGAGTAACAAGGGCTCGTCTGGCTCCGGGGCGACCAGAACTGGGGGAGAGCTTAGATACGCCTTCAACTGGGTGAGGGCATTTTCGGCTTCCTCCGTCCAGGTAAACGGTCCGGAGCGTTTGAGAAGCTTAAATAAGGGTAACGCCTTCTCTCCCAGCCTCGATATGAACCGACTTAGGGCGGCCATGCAACCGGTGACGCATTGCACATCCCTAAGTTTGCTGGGGGGCGCATCCGCTCTATAGCCCGTATCTTCTCAGGGTTGGCCTCAATGCCTCGGGCAGAGACCAAGAACCCTAGAAGCTTGCCCGTAGGTACACCGAACACACACTTATCGGGGTTTAGTTTTATGCGGGCGGAGCGGAGACTCTCAAAAGTTTCCGCTAGATCTGAGAGTAACATTTCCTGGTTGCGCGTCTTTACAACCAAGTCATCGACATAAGCCTCAACATTACGTCCTAATTGGTTACCCAAAGAAATTCGAGTAGTACGTTGAAAAGTAGGACCTGCATTCTTTAACCCGAAGGGCATTGTCGTATAACAATAGGTTCCTATGGGGGTAATGAACGCAGTTTTTTCCTCATCCTCCCTAGCCATGCGAATCTGATGGTAACCAGAGTATGCATCTAGAAAACACAAAAGGTCGCACCCCGCAGTGGAGTCGACAATCTGATCTATGCGAGGCAGGGGGTAAGGATCCTTAGGACATGCCTTGTTAAGGTCGGTGTAGTCGATGCACATCCGAAGCTTGCCGTTCGCCTTGGGAACAACCACCGGGTTCGCCAGCCACTCCGGATGGATGACCTCACGGATGAATCCGGCTTCCAGAAGTCGCGCCACCTCCTCGCGGATGAAGGCTTGACGTTCCGGGGCCTGCCGCCGCACTTTCTGCCGGACCGGCCTTGCGCCCGGCCGCACGGCGAGACGGTGCTCAATCACCTCCCTGGGGACCCCGGGCATATCCGTCGGTCTCCATGCGAAGACGTCAGCGTTTGCCCGCAGGAAGGAGACGAGCGCGTCTTCCTATTTGCCGTCCAGAAGACCACCGATCCATGTGGTCTTGGACGGGCCGTCGCCCAGGGCAACCTCCTTGACCGGGACCTCGTCGCCTGTGATCATCCGTTGCCTCGGGGTGGCGGGGGCGGAAGCGCCAAGCCTCTCTTCGCCACCCTCGGGCTTGGATGTAGCGGCGAGGTGGTCCGCGCGCTGCTCCAGACAAGCGAGCGCGACTTTGAGGTCGCCATGGACAGAGATGGGGCCACCGGGGCCCGGCATCTTCATCTGTAGGTAGGCGTAGTGGACCGCCGCCATGAACTTCACCAACGCGGGCCTCCCCAGGACCGCGTTGTAGGGCAGACTGAGGTCCGCCACATCGAAGTTCACCCGCTCCGTGCGGAAGTTGGCGGATCCACCGAAGGTGACCGGTAGGTCGATGTGACCTAACGGCCACGTGTGCCCCGGCGTCACACCGATAATTGGCTGGGACGGCCGGAGCACCATCCCCGGGGCCTTGATGGCGTCAAAGGCCGCAGGGGAAAGGATGTTGAGGGCCGCTCCCCCATCAATGAGGACACGCCCCAACTTCACGTTGCAAACGGTGGGAGAAACCACCATCGCAATCTGCCCTCCCCGGGCAACGCACGGTGGGTGGTCGGTCTGGTCGAAGGTGAGGGCAACCTCCGACCACCGCGCCCGACACGTCGCCTCATGAGTAGGGGCCGCGGCCAGAAGCTCTCGCTTCATGGCCTTGAAGCTCCGGCGAGAAACGTGAGCACACCCTCCCCCATCGACGGTGGCAATGGTGGCCCCAGGCTCTTGGAAACCTAGGTCATCATCGCCGTCATCGATGTCCTCGGCGGGGGCCTTCTGCTTGGCCTCACTTCGCCGATTACCGGAAGGAACCGCCGGGGATTTGCCCTCTCGGCGCTCCTGCCTCCTCTCCTCCTCCCACTTCCTCGTCCGCTCAGCCAAACTTTTGACTGCACGGCAGTCCGCGAGGTCGTGAAGGGAAGTGTTGTGGACGGTGCACCACTTGCCGGTTGGGCGCTCCCTGTTGGGAGCGCCGGCCTCGTTCTTTTTGCCTCCCGCAGGCCTCCCCTTTCGGGTGGCCCGCGAAGCGCCCTCGACGGCGAGGACATGACCCTCGTCGTCGGTATGGGCTGACCTCTTCTTCCTCCTCCTGTCACGCCGCCCTATCTGAGCGGCGGATCCGGGGGTGGCCGAAGCTGCCACACCGGAACCGAAGGGGTTCCAGGTCCATGCCTCCTCCTTACGAGCCACTCGGTCCGCGAGCTGAAAAAGCTCCGCGGTAGTCTGGGGCTCCTTGGAGGCGATCTTTTCAAGCATGCGGTTGTGCCGCACACCCCCCCTGAACGCGTAAATCACCGCGTGCGCAGGGATGCATGGTATGGTGTTGCGGACTTGACAGAACCGCTGAATGTACGAGCGAAGTGACTCATCATCCCTTCGCTGTACTGCGTGCAAGTCCGCTTCCTCACCTGGGCGCGGATATGTGCCTTGGAAGTTCATGGTGAACTGTTGGCACAAATCCTCCCAAGAGTGGACAGACGCGGGTGGCAAGTTCATTAGCCAACCCCGCGCTTGTCCTTTCAGGGCCATGCGAAAGAAATTCGCCATGACCCTGTCGTCACCCCCGGCGGCCTCGATCCCGGTCGTGTAGACCTGGAGAAACTCGGTGGGGTTGACGCTCCCGTCATATTTTTCGGCGATGGTGGGCCGGCACCTTGGGGGCCAACGGACATTCCGAAGGCTCGCCACAAAGGCTCTACAGCCGACACCACCAACCGGGGGCACGGAGGGCTGATCCCCGCGTCCGTGGTGACGGACATTCCGAAGACACCACCAACCGGGGGCACGGAGGGCTGATCCCCGCGTCCGTGGTGAGGTGACACTCCGGACGAGGAGGCGCCCTCCGTTGCGTGGGGAGCACGTCGGCCATTACGCCGGCGCTCGATACTGATGCGAGCATCCGGTTCCCCACGCAGATCTTCCCGGGTCGGAGGCGTTGACGAAGGAGTGGCGGTCGAATGGCGAACAGCGGCTGCCGCTCGCCGCGCCCTCCGTCTTGACGATGCGGAGCCGGTGGTAGCAGCACCAGAGGCCTTGGTGGCGGAGGACCGCCCACCAGCATCTAGGCGCTGCCGTGCAGTCATGACCAATTTGGCCACATCGTCCAGCCAACGTTGGGCTGGAGACTCCGGGTCATGGGCGATGGGCGGGTGACGTAGGAGCGCGCCCGCAGCTTGGAGCGCGCCCTGGGGCGTGCTGCCGTCGCCGTAGACGAGGAGGCGACGCTCCCCATCTCGCCGCCCTTCTCCACCTCCTGTGGGTGTCGAAGTCGCGGATCCTTCGGCCCTCTCGAGCGCCTTCTCCCGCCTAGGACTTTGGCGTGGAGGGGGCGGTGGAGTACGAGCTCGACGGCGTGGGTTTGGCTCCCCGTCGTCACCGCTCATACTCGGGGAGAGGTCGTGCGCCTTTGCTGGCTCGGCCATTGGGCTGAACAAGAAAAGCTTGGCGCACACGAAAGAGTGCGAGAGCTCAGAAAATCCCTCGCAGAGCCCCCTACCTGGCGCGCCAGATGACGGAGCGTGGGGCTCCTCACCGGGAGACCGCGCAGGCCCCCCTTTGCCGGTTCGGCCGGGGACTCAGGGAGAGATTCTAAGCTCTCTGTATGTGGAAGGCTCGCGAGACAGGAAACACACAAGACACGGGCGATGTATACAGGTTCGGGCCACTGAGAAGCGTAATACCCTACTCCTGTGTTTTGGGAGATCTGTGTATGAAGGAGCTACAAAGTATCAGCCAGCCTCTCCCTTGTTCTGGGTTTCTAATCTGGAAAAGTCCAGTCCCCCCTCTCAGTGGGCAAGTTCCTCCTTTTATATCTTAAGGGGACACCACATGCACCATTTCTCTCTTTTTTGTGGGGACTTACCCCCCCTTTTCATAAATGGACGGAGATTTGTATAGTTGCCGTCCGAGTCACCTTCTGATGAGACGGCCCACAACTACCTCCACTTTCGCCGGGAGCAGGTGCGACGTGGAATCGTGGCTGTCTGCTGACAACATGACCGGTATCAGACCAGTCACGACGGTCATTCTTGTCCACCACGTGTCAGCTTAGCAATCTACATGCTCGCCCTTCTTCACACAACATCTTGCCTGTAATGGTTAGGATGAAGCCTGGCATATATCTGACCAGGACTAACGTGCCATCTCTGGGAGGTAACACGCTAGCTCCAGCTGGGGACGAGCGCCTAGAAGCCCTCGTCCTGACAGGATGGGGCGAGGCGTGCGTCAGATCGCCTGTCGCCACCTAACCCGCGATCTGACCGGTCTGTGACTGGTCACAGACCGGATAAACGAGTGCACTGCACTGCGTTACATGCGGCGTGACACGCTCAGCCAAACCGCAATAAATGTGGTTAGGTGAGCCCCACTGTGCTCACCTAACCCATACGCGGAGCAAAAACCCACGAGGGGTCGGGGCGCCTCGGCCCTCGGGGCCGAGGGGGGTGCGGCCCGACCCCCTCGGGGGGACTAAGAGGAGGGCGAACGCATCACCCTCGGGCCCGACGTCCCTCGGGGGTACCAGGCCACGTGTGCGATTGTGTCTGCCTCAAACCTCTAGTCATGATACTCCTGATCCCATGTCACCGACATATGGATAATCAATATCAAAGGTATGGCATATAACAAAGTAGGATATTCACATATAAATAGCATGCAAACTTTATTTAAATCAAAATAAGTTCGCAATAGGTCCAACATGCTCAAAGATTAGTGATGACTTGCCTTGCTCACAGATTTGCTGACCCGGATCTTTGATTAACTCAGCAACTCCTTCGGAATCTAAATTTACGTGCGAAAGATTTGATTTGAATTCAATTAGAATTCAAATAAAATCACCAAAAATTCAAACAGTACAAATTAAATTGATAAAGTGGTACCAATAGTTAGATCTTGATTTTAGATAAATTTAGGTTCAAGTTTCATTCGAATCCGAGTTAAAATGAGTGAGTTATGCTAGTTTAAAGATTCAAATTTGAATTAATTCCAATAATTGTGAAACAGTACTGTTCATAATTGATTTATTTTTATTGCAGCGTTAACAGTAAGTGGTAGTGACTGACAGGTAGGTCCACTCTTATTTTCTTTTCTTTATCTTTATTCTACTAAGGGAAATGTGATGTGCTACTGACAGGTGGGTCCGGCCCCCTGTTGACTGAGGTCAAGCCGGTCATATAATTGCCGGTGGGTCCCCTCTGTCATGGACACAAAATCTATAATTAAGTTTTCTTAGATTTTAATAACAGGGACCCCACATGTCATTGAGTGGGCTAATAACCATTAGGGAGAGCATTACTGTGTGCTAATTACATGTGGGCCCCACACGGTTTCTCTCTCTCTCGTTCCTTTCTTTTTTTCCCCGTCGTCTTCTACCTCTCGCCAGGCAGAGGCAGCCGCGCCATGCGCCTAGCGCGCACGCCGGGACGGCGCGAGGCCGGCACAGAGGCGGCCGGGGAGGATGAGGCGAATCTCCGGTGACCTCCCGCCGGCAGCCACGGCGCACGACGGCGCGGGGGCGAGCGGCGCGGCATGGCCGCCATGGCCGAGCTCCGGGGTGCAAGGGGATAGGGCGGTAGGGCTAGGTTCCAACCAAATTGATGGGTGCGAAAGCTTCTACAGTGTATGGTGATTCCATTTTTCCTAACAAGATGGAAGGGAAAGCCTCCGGGATAGCATGTCCACGGGGACCTCGCCGGCGGCGGAACAGCAGCCGGGCCGGCACGGCCATGGGTGCTAATCGCTAAAATAGGAACCGAGGCTAGCTAATAGTAGGGTAGAGGACGCTACGGACGCGAGGGCTCACCGTGGGATGGCGAGTCGGCGAAACGCGGCGTCGCGGTGGGGAGGCGGTAAGGAAGCAGAGGATGCCGACGGCGGCGAGCGCGCAGCCGTTCGTCAGCAGGTCCTCGAGTTCCAGCAGCACCCGGCGTTGATCCAAGGCAGCAGCAGCAGTAGAGGCGTCCCGAGCCACGGTTCCCGCAGTCAGCTACGCCGGCTTCGGCTCCAACCAGTGATGATGAAACATGCTCACAAGGTGTTCGATGAAATGTATTCGAGGAAAAGGCAGATAAGGATGGAGTTTTTAGGGGGCTTGGCTTGGGGATAAGCCAGGATGGCGTGGAGGATAAGATCGGCAGCTGGTGCACTCAATGGCTGTCTATACGGCCTAGATTAGGGAGGTTGACGCGGCTATGTTTCCTGCTCCTTTTCCATTAAAGTTCTGTAGTAGATCATTGCATCTATGACCCCTATACTGTGTGTTCTAGCTCTAGCTAGAGAGGAAGGCTCCGTTTTACCCATCGTACACAAGGAAGGGCGCTAGTAATCATTAGTTGTGGATGAGGCGGCGGACGTGGCCACGGCAGCGCGCCTATCCACTCGGTTCGCTCCCCAACCCTTGGAGTGGAAGGTTCGTGAGGATGGCGTCTTGACCGGGGTCCGATCGCGGGCCCGCCTGGCGTGGCGCGGCGTCACGGATGCGACGGCAATGACGCGCGCACATGGGCGACGGCAGAGTGGCGGCTCGGTGAGAGGGGGATTTCCGGCTGTAGGGCGGTTGGATAGGGTTTAGGGGTGATGTGGGGTGGCGTCACGGCCGTTACCTATCGGCTCCGAGACGATGGGCGACGTGACGTTGTTGACGCGCGCTCCCGTGGCGGCGCGGCTTTGGCGCGGGTTTCCGGCGGCTCGGTCGGCGGCGGGGCCCACGCGCGAGTGTGGCGCGGTGCGGCGCGTGGTTACGCGGTGCACGGGCAAGGAGGGCGCGCGCGCGTGCACGGGGAGGCGGATGCTGCGCTGGGTGTTTGGCCGGGTTAGACCCGAGTCGAACACCTGGCGCACAATGAACAGTGCCAGGCTGTAAATTTAGGGTTTTGATTGATTTTATAAATTGAGGAAAGAGGGCTATTTCAATTTATATTTTCACCAATGCATTTTAACGACAATATGCAGTATTCAAATGTGAATTTTGTTCAAAATTAATATTGTCCAAAAATTTTAAATTGTACTATACCTTTTATGATTTCCTATACTTTTGGGATTTCGGTATTTATTCGTTTTCACCATGTATTGGTTTAACATAATTATTATATAACTTGTAGGCTTGGACATTTATTAATTAGAATATACTAATATCACCTTATTAATACAATGGCACATTGGTCGAGTTAATTTGGATAACAATGTATTTACACATGGATAGGTTTAATCTATTTATTTCACAAAAGTAAATTGAGACTTGGTACCATATTGATCTAAATGTTTAATTAGACATTCACATAAACATATTATATATATAAAGCTCAATTTATTTGCATTACCATTTACTTTATGTGAGTGAATTCTATTCCATGAGAGACTCAATGAACATTATAAATATTAATGTAAATATTCTAGTGGAACGCTCCTTTTATATATAGAATCATCGTAGTGGCGATTATTTCATGTGTAGCATTTAATATTTGACTTATAAATTGATTTAGTAATTAACCTTCTCTTTGTATTGCTTTGTTGTGTTGTGCATAAATATTTGTAGGGTTCATAATAAATATCATAACTTTATAATTTTTACGTAGTTATATAGCTTTAGCTTAATTTTCATTTGTGATATTTTATAGTTTGGCAAGCAATAACAACCATAACATCCACCATGATGCACAACAAAAGAACCAATAACATCGGCATGATGCAATTTATTTAAAAGTTTTTGAAAGTACTTTAATTTCAGGTTTCGTTTTATTTGTCGAATTTTCAGGGTGTTACAAGGCGGTCCAAGTCATCATCCGGAGGCAGCGGTGGCTGCGCCCTTCCGCGGTGGGACCCACAAGTGGTGAGGCTGGCCATGGCGCCGTCGCCGCGCCTCTCCCCTCCGCCATCTTCTGCCGGCCGCCTCCCCTCTCCCCCTTTCCCTCCCGTCGCGAGGCGCTCGAGGCGACGGAGGTCGCCGGCCGCCTGTCCCCTCTCTGCCTCTGCCGCCATCGCTGAAGAGAAGTGAAGAGAAGAAGAAAACAGAAGAGAAGAGAGGAGAGGAGAAAAAGAGAAGAAATAAGAGACTTACATGAGGGTCCCATCATTTTTTATTTTTTTATTTTGCTGACTAGTATGCCACGTCAGCAAAACCAGAGATCTATACTGTCATAGGACCGAGATTGCACGGTTTTGTATAATTTAGGGGTGAACATATCTGATTTTGAGGTTTAGGATGTTATACAGACTCGACGTAAAGTTGAGGGACGGCTGGTGAACTTATTCCTCAACAAAATTCCCGGTCATTCAATGTGTTAGCAGGAAAGGTCGGTCACCAAACATGGTTGGAGTATCAGTATGGATGCCCATAAAGAGGAAGTACCGGCAAATTGTTTTTCTTTTTCTTTCCTGAGAAAAAAAAGAATATTACAGAGTTTCAATAAGATTTACACAATTCATTTTTTAGCGGTTTTAGCTTGAACATTTCTTTTGTAAAAATTTCAGCCTAGTATCAATAGGTTTTAGAGCATATACAATTTCATTTCTTTTTGTGCGCCACTATTTTGTTTATGTTTATGTATATAAGTCAAAATTTAAAGTTTATAACCTAGTTATGAAGTTGATTTTGTGGTTTTTCATCGTAGTTTAAGTTACGATATTTGTTTGTATATAAAAATTTTATTAATAAATTATATTTTAGTTGGTAATAAGTGATATGGATAAACGTAAGTATAAGCGTAATGACGGGGCTGTTCATTTGGCAAGTGCTATTAAATTTTTAAGAAGACATGAAACGAAGTGTTGCTTGGTTTCGCAGGCTTTGCAGCTCAGGTCTTGTTCAGCTGCACGAACAACTACCCATTTGCTTTCCTACTTGCGTCATGGGAGCTCCATCAAGGTTGTTCCCTCCCTTTCTATAAATTATTGTTCTTCAAATTCGTTTTCCCCGATCCTTTAATTTTGTTCCAATAATACCTCAACGTAAACAAATCCACACACGCGACGATTGTGTAAATCACCTCTAAATTCACCACTCTTCAAACCTTGCCTCTACAAGAAAACCACAATAGACTTCGTCAATTGAGCGGGCATAGCTGTGACTGTTACTGGATCAAAATAGGGATATTTGCAACGGTCATGGCCATTTTCTTACTGTACTTCCTCCGTCCCAATATAGATGCAATCTAGTGCATATATGTAATTTAGATAAGCTTATCGGATTAGTAGTTATGGAACATATTACATCTGTGTAATGTTGCACTTCTATTAAGACGTCGATCACATGTGAGAGCTCCATACTGTTAAGCTTACAAAGACTAGATTAGGTCATTTCAAATATTATACTCGTGAGATATTGATATATAAAAGCAACACTGGCTGATGTGTACTAGGGTTCCCAATCTTCTGAAAGGTTCTGATAACCAACGATTTGAGCGGAGTCGCGACACAAATTGATCCGGCTTCTTGAACAAACATGCTCTTGAGCCCCGCAATCGCAGCACCACGTCTCCTCTGGTTATCACCCGTGTCGAAACGCGGATGACCTCACCGAGAAGACTAATCCCTATTTACCAATCGAAGAACACAAACAAGAACAAGGTAGAATACAACCAAAATTGCAGGTGAAAGATTAAGCTTACAAGTTGGGGTCTTACAAACCGATCTAGCGGCGAAACTGTTCTCGACAGAATAATCTAAGCGAAACCCGACTCTAAACAATGATGGCTACTGATTAAGTATGATTAGGGACGTCCTAGGGTTGGCCTAGGGTGCACAACCCCTTGGGCTAAGCCCACGACACAACTAAAAGGCCCAAAACCTAAATCAGATTCGGACTGGATGAGATACGTGGCTTGTTTTGTAGATTCCTGGCAGCTTGGTAGGAATTTTGACATGGGACCAAAACCATTTGATAGTAGATTCCATAAGCTTTCCAACAAGTACACATGAGCCCCAAAATTCCTTCTAAATCAGCGGCTAGGTCTGTTTGAAGTTGATGCTGTCAGAAGGCCCGAATCCGAATCCAAAATATGTAGAATTTTATCCCTTGTCTTCTATGGACCAAAAGTGACATGGTGAGGTAGAAGTAAACTTGGAGAAGGTCTTGATTTAGTCCCCAATCAACTTCTTTTCCTTCGCCCAAGCAAGTACCTCTGCAAACGAAAACACACAAAACTCATTGTGTAGCAACATTTGTTCAAATATATAATAAGTAAATCTAATATAGAACATATGCACATTTGGTTGATTAATACATAAGGTAGTCATGGTTATATCTAAGCTAGTCGTGTCCTCATCACTGGCTTCGACCAATAGTATAACTAATGTTCTCCAAACGATGATAACCCTGATGTATACAGGAGTAGCTATATTTATGGCGTCATATTTTTCATAAAAAAAATAGTTAAATCATTTTTACACTAAATTACATTCACTCTTACATTGCAATTACACCGTACTTACCATGAAACTCTTATATATTTACATTGTAATTTTCAAATCTTACATGTAAATTTTAAAATTTACATTGTAATTTTCCTCGTCTCTAAATCTAAACCATATTCACAATTGGACTAAACCATATTCACAATTTTCAAACACATGTATATATATACAAAATCGAGAAAAATAATGTATATTTTAAAATTTAATTCCACAATTTTAGCAGTTCCGTATACTTTTTTATTAATAGCCATCCACGGTTGTTGCGAGCTGCCTTTGTGCCTACCCAAAAATTCAACACGAAACCCAATAGCCAATAGACCCAATTGGCAATACGGCACACGAAAACCATCCGTAGCTATCAACCGACGCGACACCACACTCACCCCCATCTCCTACGTCCAATCCCCCATAAATACGTGTGTGCCCCGACTCGGTCTCTCCACCGATCGCGCCCGCGACACGTACGACGGCGACGGCAGCGGCGGCCATGTCGTCGGACGACACGACGCCGACGCCGCTGGGGCGGAGGACGAAGCCGAAGCCGCCGATGTCCCGCCTGATGCGGCTGTCCCTCAAGGCCGTCGACTGGGCCACCGACGCCACGCGCCGCGCCGACGGCACGCTCAACCGCCTCGCGCTGTCCGTCCTCGACCCGCGCGTCCCGGCCTTCTCCTCCCCGTGCCGCGGCGTCGCCTCCCGCGACGTCCTCGTCCACCCGCCCACCCGCCTCCGCGCGCGCCTCTTCTACCCCTCCGCCGCCGCCGGCAAGGACGAGCGGCCTCCTCCTCCTCGCCCTCTCCCCGTCATCGTCTTCTTCCACGGCGGCGGGTTCGCGTTCCTCTCCGCGGCGTCCGCGGCGTACGACGCCGCGTGCAGGCGTATCGCGCGGTACGCGTCCGCCGCGGTGCTGTCCGTCGACTACCGCCGCGCGCCGGAGCACCGCTGCCCGGCGGCGTACGACGACGGGATCGCCGCGCTGCGCTACCTCGACGACCCCAAGAATCACCACGGCGGCGGCGGCGGAGGCGTCCCGCCGCTCGACGCCGCCCGATGCTACCTCGGCGGCGACAGCGCGGGGGGGAACATCGCGCACCACGTCGCCCGCCGCTACGCCTGCGACGCCGCCGCCTTCGAGAACGTCCGCGTCGCCGGCCTCGTCGCCATCCAGCCCTTCTTCGGCGGCGAGGAGAGGACGGACTCGGAGCTCCGCCTCGACGGCGCGCCCATCGTGACCGTCTCCCGCACCGACTGGATGTGGCGCGCGTTCCTCCCCGACGGCTGCGACCGCACCCACGAGGCGGCCAACTTCGCCGCCCCGTCCGCCGCCCCCGGCGTCGACTCCCCGGCGTTCCCGCCGGTGCTCCTCGCCATCGGCGGCTACGACCCGCTCCAGGACTGGCAGAGGCGGTACGCCGAGATGCTGCGGGGCAAGGGCAAGGACGTGAGGGTGTTCGAGTACCCCAACGCCATCCACGCCTTCTACGTCTTCCCGGCGTTCGACGACGGCCGCGACCTCATGATACGCATCGCCGAGTTCGTCGCCGAGAGCGCCGCCGCCGCAGCCGCTGCCAGCGGCGGTGGCAGCGAGTGACCGGGCCACGGAGCAGCAAGGTGTTCGTCCGCGTGTCAGCGTCGACGTGGCGTGCGTGGCGGTGGCGCCGACTTGTTTGGCTGGGTTAGCGTGTGTCTATGATAAGCAGTGCAGTGTATAGTCTCTTGGTGATGTAATTTTTTCGAGGTTTAGGTGTGGTTTGCTTGAGTGATTAAGTAAGAAATAGTTAAATTAATGTGGACGATAATTATATATTAGTATTACTTTTGCTATGTTTGGTATGAGATGTATGAGTAGTGTTGATTAAGTTGGTGATTTCGTGAACGGATGATGAAAACGGCTGATGTGGATTGATTGATGCAATGAGATATTTAATTTATGAACATGAATTCTGATGACGGAGGATTTCTCAGCTCGCTTATCATAAGTCCCATCTTCAGGAATGTTTTAAAATTTCTAAACTTGTTAGGCACATTCATATGTTAATTATGATTATTTTGTTTGATTATTTAGCTTAAGTCATAAATGAAAGTATGTAAAAATTTCAATTCAGGAGTGTATAATTTAATTCATCAAAAGTAATTTATTCACAAATGTAATTTTTGAAATATTTAAAAGTAGTATATATATGTAAAAAAACGTACGCTGTGGTACTGATATTTTTTTCATAGTCCTCTCAGATCTACACTATCAAAAGAGAGTAATAAAAGCTCAAATCCTAGCATGAATACCGTTATACGTAGCGATTTGAAATTTGAATACAGTGAGGATCTAATCTAATTATGGATATTGAGATTAAAATTTTAGACATAAATCCACAAGACATTGGAAATTTAAAAGATTTATAAATTATAATTTGAATATGAAAACATGGTAAATAAGATTATTTCATTATCAATTATATAGAAGATGGTAAACAGGTAAAATATACTAAATAAACATTAATGTTTTGTATGGCTCTAAACTCTGGATAGTTGAAAAAAATATATTATCTTCAGGAACTCGCTTTACGGGTAGGCGTAGGACAATAAAGGTAGGCAAACACGTAAATCTTCCTCTTCCATAGGTTCAACCCTGAATTCACTGCTACAAAATCTTTCACGGGATAAAAAAACCGGCACCTTTAAGCACATATAGTGCCGGTTTTAGATAAAAACCGTTATCGTATCATTTTTTTAAAAAAAATTTGACACAACCGGACCTTAAAAAAAATTGCGTGGGAGCCAAATATCTATAGCTCCTCTCTATACCTTATCCTTATCCTCAGCTCCTCCCTCTCCCACTTAACTTCTCCCTCTCCCCATCCCCACTTCTCCTGCTCTCCTTCTTCGCCGGCATCTCTCCTCAGTGCCCGATGGCCATCACCCGGCACCCGATGGCCAGTGCCCCGCCTCTCTCCAGCCTACTGTGCCGGATTCATCGGCAACGGCGAGGGTGGTGGCACCGATGCCAGATCGAACGGGCCTGAGCTCGAGGGCCTCTGGATCTAGCCCCCGCGTGGAGCCCTCCACCAGATATGCTCTCGATGACCTCAATAGTGGCGGCGATGGCGGGCGGTGGCCTTCACTCGACGTCGTCAAGTGCACTACCCACGGGTTTGTTGATTTGTGGATGTTTTTGTTGTTGATTTTGTGTATGTTCACAATTCTATGATATCAATCGATCTTGATGGTGATCTAATTTGGATTTGGAGATTTGAATTTGGATTCGAGGCAATGGAAGCATCTTATATTTGACTTGTATGGAACAGAGCGACTAATTCACCATTTCAAATTTCCCTAACCAAATATGTTGAAGAACAGGAGAGTCAAACATGGCATGCATGTGTGGGCCTTCAGCGATAATGGTGGCTTTCTTCTCGACGAAGCTCCAAGTATAGATGGCCGTAAAGCTTGAGGCCCGACAGCCCGCCCCAAGCACAACACGGCATGACTGGTGTCGAGCCCATGCCGACCCAGTCCGACAGTTGGGTCATGCCTAGATCGATGCCTCAGCACGGTGGGCCAGCTTGGCAAAGCACGGTTCAATGAGCACGGAAGAAAAATGGTTGAGGGACTCAAAAAAGACACCCAAAGATAAAAGGGATACAAAATAGACTTAGTCCAGCTGTATAATACACGGCCCAAAGAGATTGATGATTGAAAATAGACTTATCCATAAAGAAGTACAATAGACTGTGGTGCCTTCGGGCCGGCTCGGCAATGGCCCGAGTCTAATTCAGCATGCCTGGACCATCGGTGCAGCCCGTGGGTGGGCCCAGCCCGGCCTGGCATGTAGGTCAGACCGTACCGGCCTGACTGATATCGGCCAAGGCCTGGTCGTGCCTGGACCCATTTGGGCATATATATAGCTCGAACCTCGAAGTAGCTTGCATGCGGCGGCTGCACAGGTGAAAGGAAAACCTAGGTCTTAAGCTGGGCCCAACCATTTTATTATCCTTAAATTTGTGTGGTTAATTAATTGGGTAATTGATTATTTGATCTTCTCTATAGTGTGCAAATTCAAGGGAACATATCTTAATTTCCATCTGCCATATATATGCGCACCGTTATTGTAGTTTGAGTTTCACGTACGGTGACCTTGCCTGCGTTGCCATCCAATCAAGAACCATGGATGACGCCGCCGGCAACTGCGACGGCATGACGGCCTTCGCGCTCCGTCTGGCGAAGCGTCTCGCCGACAACGGCGACGACGTCAACAACAACAGAAACCTCGTGTTCTCGCTGGTGTCCCTGTACGCCGCGCTGGCGCTGGTGGCGGCCGGGGGACAGGGCACCACCCTCCACGAGCTCCTCGCGCTGCTCGGCGCATCGTCGCTCGACGACCTCGCGGAGTCCGTCTACCGCGCCGTGGAGGTCGGCCTCGCCAACGAGTCGTCCGCGTCCGGCGGGCCGCGCGTCTCCTACGCCTGCGGCGTCTTGCACGACGAGACGCTCGCGCTGAAGCCGGCCTACCGCGCCGCCGCCGCCGGCACGGCGGCACCTACAAGGCCGTGACGCGCGCCGCAAACTTCCGAAGACAGGTCAGTCAGTTCAAGCGGCTCCCAATTTTTCGGTTTGACGATTTCTGAAATTTGATCAACCTTGGTATGTAAAATTTTCATATGCAGCCAAAGAAATCAAGAAAGAAGATCAACGAGTGGGTGTCCAAGGCGACGAACAAGCTCATCCCTGAGATCCTCCCAGATGGATCAGTTCATCGCCTCACCACCCTGGTGCTCGTGAACGCCATCTACTTCAAGGGCAAGTGGTCCGATCCCTTCCCCAGGGAGAGCACCACCACCGGCAAGTTCCACCGCCTCGACGGCAGCTCCGTCAACGTCCGGTTCATGCGCAGCCGGGAGGATCAGTACATCGGCTTCTACGACGGCTTCAACGTGCTCAAGCTGCCGTACAACGGCGGGTTATGATTATTAGATCTAACAATTGAAAATGATTTTGTTGGGCCGGAGCAAATCTCGAATGGAATAGTCTATAGAATAATAGAGCTGTTATGGCATGTTCAATGATAGAGTCAGCGACACGCCGAAAATAAAAAAAATTCTAATCTAGAGCGAATTTAACCTACTTTTTTTTAACTATTTGGTAACATGTACAGGCATACACACGAGAACCATTGCTCCTTTATTTCATCTACATCTGAAGTGCAAAATGCATTTGATCACTCCCTCTCGCTCACGGGAAAACTGATGGATTTCAGATGGTGAACAGTATCTAACGAAAACTGATGTTTCATATGCTTGCAGCTTTTCTGTTTTTCTTCTATTTATTCTGTGACCGATTAAGCAGCTAGATCCTGAATTTGTGCTATCCCACGAAACGTCTCCAGCTCGGTCAAAGAACTGAAACACGGCCACTACTTCTTCTAACTCAAAATCCACCAACTGAATTCCGGTGCATCTACATTCGACAATGCTCGAAATAAACAATTAGAAGTAAAAACATAATGGGCGCAAGATTAGAGCTCAAGTCAAGATATTAGTCCACGAATGTTTTTGTAAAAAAAAAAATCGTCAAATATTGTGGTCACCCCGTCTACGTCGATCAATGGAATGAATGTTTTCAGTAACCATAAAATATGCTTTACTTTCCGGTAGTGTCAGTAAGAATGACTGTCTATTTATGATTCGACAGAAAATAAGGGGTTGTATCATGCAGATTTTTGAGCCACGGGATCAACACCAAACGGCTCAGATGTTTCAGCAGAAAAACAATTACAAAAATATATATAAAAAGAAAAAAAGGGGATAGCAAGCCTGCCCTTTACCGAGGCCAACTACCCGAGGCCCATTAACAGATCCAAAAATTGTCTAAAGCCAGATTAAACAACCAAACTTTTACCAAGACCCATTAACAGGCCCAAAAATCATCTTAGCCACATTGAACAAACAATTTTGCTATATATTTATCGATAAATTTTCTCCCAAAAATTTGATAGATGTAATTACAGTATAATTATAGTGTAATTACATTGTAACTTGCATGTAATTACACTGTAACTACAATGTAACTTATATGTAACTTTCAAAAATCTCTCTGTAAGATGTTATTTCGGTAAAATGGAGGTTGTTGAAACAAATCCTTTCACATATGTGTGTGCTGCGATTTTTTCTTTCTCACCACAACAAATCTTATAATAGATCTAACGATTCAAAATTACGTGAAACTTACATACAAATTACACTGTAGTTATATGCAAGTCACAGTGTAATTACATATAAGTTACAGTGTAATTACACTACGATTATACTATAATTACATCTGTCAATTTTTTTGAAGAAAATTTATCGATAAATGTATAGATGGTCTTGCGAGCAGCACAAAAATCAAAATTGAACAGCCTTGCAGGGCCCAATTGACTCTGCTCTACAGAGCCCATGTCACCTTGCCACATGTGGGCCGATCCAAGCACACATCTCAAAGAATATCTAACGACCAAAAAATCGCATGATGCAGACCACGGAAATCTGTCGACAGCTAGTTAGCAAATCCGAATAAGTAAACGTCAAACGAACAACATGCTAGAACATATAATAGATTTTCTTACAGGCATCATGTACTACGAGATCGTGGCTAACCAGCAACTTGATCTCCATCCTCTGCTTCTCTACTTCATTTGCACATACTGGTAAGCCTGGTAATGGGCTGGCCAACCCATGGGTTGTACAGGTTGAAACAATAATGGGTTGAAAATGGTGTGTCTTGTATGGGTTATAGGAAGGATAAGGGCAGGGTTGGGTTGGGCCATATAAAATGAGGGTTACGATGGGCTGGACACTGTAGCTCAGAATGGGGTTCAGCCCATGGGCAGTAAAAAAGGGTCTTCTTTGTGGGAGAACCCACAGCGGTAGGAGCTCGGCGACTGGATCGGCGGCCACCGCCCGCCGCCGCCTTGCGCCGCCCTCTCCCCCTCCGCTTCCGCCTCCTCCTCTCCCTCCCCGTCGCGATCCTCCGTCGCTGTCCCGATCCCTGTCCGCGAGCGCCGACGCTCCGTCCTTCCCATCCAGATCGCGCCACCCCGTCCGCCGGCGCGTCGTACGCCTCCATCAGCTGTCGGTCCTCCGCCTCCCGGTCAAGATCCAGCACCGCGCCGCCGTCCTCCGTCGCCTCCGCCTCCTGTTCGAGATCCACAGCACCGTGCAACCCTTTCTCTGCAAGTCGGTTTCTGCAACCAAGGTTTGTTTTCTTTGCTACAGGCATTGCTATTTTTGTTCTTGGTTTCGGTGCAGCAGATTAGATTGCTCTGCTAACATCTGAATGAAGCAAATCTTTATCACATGTTGAAATTGTTGATCCAGCTAGGGATTGCTTATTTGTTTGCCGATTCACAGTACAAACTTGTAAAAAGCTATTAGGATTAGATTAGACATTGAATATAATGTATAAGCTTGTATAGAGAGATCATAGGATTCTCTTAAATAAGAAGTATATGCAGAGGAACGAATATTGTTTCAAGGCATTGTTATTCTTGCTAGTCCCTCTTTGTGTCAAAAGCCTTCTTTGCCACTTTCAGTTGTACTACTGACACTGAAATGATTTTTCTAACGAATATCATGTTTTAGATTATTAGTTCTTTGTGATGATTATTCCGAGAAGTTAACTGTAACTCATATTGAATTTTAGGAATCTATAATAGAGAAAATTCTGGGCATATAATGATTTGTACTTCTGCAACTTGTAATACATTAAGTTGTATATATCTTGGATTTTAAATAAACACACATATATAATCTGAAACTGTGTTGGTCGAACTAGCTGCTCTTCTGTTTGAGATTAACTGAAAGTTGGTGGCCATGTGTTGATCTGAATTTGAGGATACAAGGATCTGATATTCTGCCTTTGAGTGCTGAATATACATTTTTTTCATGCCACTTAGGTAGATGGCGCATTGTGCTGAATATACTTAGGCTGATGCTAAATGCATGCTATTTGTTAGAGGTTGTGTGGCTACAAGTTACTGCATGTCCTTTTGGCCTAAGTGAATTCTTGTGCTATATAGGTAATTTAATTTATACTGTAATAAAACTTACTTGATGTCAACTAGTATAAATTTTCAATTTGTTTCTAAGTAATATACTTAGAGTTACATATCTATTCAGATGTAGCTTGATCTGCACTATATATTTATTGTTGCACCGGATTGTTCTGTCCTCAACATAGACCTAAACTGGTGATAAATGTTTTTAACCCCTGTGTTCAACTTGATTTTGCAACTTCTAATTCTGTTTGTAACTTGATAGACTATGAATTGGTGAATGATTAAGCAACTGGTAGGAGTAAAGCAATTCTGAATTTCCATTGCTTAAGTATAGGAACATGGATTATTGTACTGATGCCTCCTTCAATAGGTTCTAACTTCTAACCTCATTTTGTTTCTACAGGGAGATGGAAACATTGCACTGGACAAGCTGTGGCATAAGAGGAAGGCTGAGATTAAGCATCAATAGATCTTGCTAGTACTTTTGAATGAAAAAATTCTGATATGATTCATAGATGTTTATTAGTTTCAATGCGTGCCTATTTGTGGCCTAATTTTGCTAAACTATTGTGTATGTCTTAAGAAAGTTCAGTCATATACTTAAACCTGGCTTAGTTTGTGGTAATCTCTATTTAACTTATCTGAAAATTATTTGTCTTACTCCCTATAGCTGTGCTATGCATGTATACAAAGCTTCATTTTCATGTATGTGCGAAGGCTCTACAGTTGTTGTACGGTTGACGTGCTGTCGTGCTGAGCCCAATGGGTTAGTCCCTTCATTGTTTATGGGTTGTCCAAGGGTTCACAAAGGGTTAGGGTTCAACAAGCACTAAGAAGGTTACAGGTTGGGGTTGGTCTGTGCTAAATATGCATGTTAGTGGGTTAGGGTGGGGTTTGGGTGCAATATATAAATAGAAATGGGCAGGGGTGGGGTTCGGGGTGGGCCACTACCCATTACCAGGCCTACATACTGGCAGAGGGAATGCAATAGGCGGGGAATGCAATAAGTCGCCTCCCTCTTCCTCTCTTTGTCCGAATCCGAGCAATGAATTTGATAATTTAACACTTTTTATGTTGCGCAATTGTATTAATTGACTTGGGTCAGCTCGTGGATTGTCAGATCCGGTCACTTGGATGTTAGTGGTACGGGGTGTCGGGGTCTGGCCTCCACGATCTCGGTGGCGGTCCGATCCTATCGATTCGGTCCACTCGACGGCACGGCTCTCTCCCCTTCTTTCGGACGTAGCGGTTCTGTCCCTCTCTCCTTGGATCCGGCGAGCGAACAAACTTCTCCACTTACAGCAGGCAGAGGACTTCTCCACGTCGGACTTCTTCCTTTTTGTTGCTCATACACGAATGAATTCAGTCATGCACCAAGTTGACTACTGTTGATTCCAATGATTTAGGATGGAATGCCGTTGATTTTGTGACTCTTTTTTTTTGCGATTTTATTACCTTTGGTGGATTTAAAGCATCAGATCTAATTAAGTTGAGCGCTTTTGTTCTCAATCGGCACAGAAAATCCCCTCTCATCAGTACCTCTTTCATGATGCTGGTTGGGAATCTGGCACCTACACGAGATTTCTAGCCGGCACCAATATGATGTTGTGCAGTGGTGACACAATATCATATTGGTGCCGTCCGCGATGACGATGGCTTTCTTTTCGACTCTCGGCCCGTGTGCTTCGAAGCGCAGCATTAAATCTAGCCTGTATCCTTTGATGAGGCGCGCGGCTACAATAGTAAAAGGGAAATTATGCGTGGTTAATTTGGTAGTTTTATCTTCTCCATATTCTGCAAATTTAAGGGGAAAATATATCTTAATTAACTTCCATCTGCCATATATGCGCACCGACTTATATACAGTAATAACTTGTACGTACGTACGTTTCACAACGACCCTTGGGGCTTTACGTCCTGCACGATCTACCTTCGGTTGCATTGCCATCCCATCGCCATGGAAGACGACGCCGGCAACTGCGGCGGCCTGACGGCGTTCGCGCTCCGCCTGGCGAAGCGTCTCGCCGACGACGGCGACAACAGCAACAGGAACGTCGTCTTCTCGCCGGTGTCCCTGTACGCCGCGCTGGCGCTGGTGGCGTCCGGGGCACGGGGCACCACCCTGGACGAGCTCGTCGCGCTGCTCGGCGCCGCGTCGCTCGACGACCTCGAGGAGTCAGTACGCCGCGCCGTGGAGGTCGGCCTCGCCGACGAGTCCGAGTCCGGCGGGCCGCGCGTCTCCTACGCCTGCGGCGTCTGGCACGACGAGAGGCTCGCGCTGAAGCCGGCCTACCGCGCCGCCGACTTCCAAAGACAGGTCAGTCCAGGTTTCGATATATATTATTTCGGTTTGACGATTTCTGAAATTTCGTAGTAAATTCGATCGATCTGGGGTGTGTAAATTTGACATGCAGCCAAAGAGTTCAAGAAAGAAGATCAACAAGTGGGTGTCCAAGGCGACGAACAAGCTCATCCGCGAGATCCTCCCAGATGGATCAGTTCATGGCGGCACCGCCCTCGTGCTCGTCAACGCCATCTACTTCAAGGGCAAATGGTCCAATCCCTTCCCCAGGGAGAGAACCACCACCGGCAAGTTCCACCGCCTCGACGGCAGCTCCGTCGACGCTCCGTTCATGAGCAGCCGGGAGGATCAGTACATCGGCTTCTACGACGGCTTCAAGGTGCTCAAGCTGCCGTACCACCGGACCATGAAGAACCATGGCGATGGTGGTGACATCACTCCGGCCATCCTCAAACACTACGGCGAGAACGTGGGGTTGTCGATGTACATCTTCCTGCCGGACGCGCGCGACGGCCTGCCGGCGCTCGTCGACAAGATGGCAGTGGCGTCGTCCGGCACGGCCTCCTCCTCCTTCCTGCGTGACCACCGGCCGGGGCGACGGCGGATCAAGGTCGGCGACCTGAGGGTGCCGAGGTTCAAGGTGTCGTTCTACAGCGAGATGAACGAGGTTCTGAAGGGGATGGGGATTGGGGCCGCCTTCGACGTCGGCAAGGTCGACCTATCCGGCATGATCGACGGCGAGCTGGTGGTGGTGGAGAAGGTGATGCACAGGGCGGTCGTGGAGGTGAACGAGGAAGGCACGGAGGCGGCGGCGGCCACGGCCTGCACGATGAAGTTCTTGTGTTTAACTTTAACCTCTCCTGTGGACTTCGTCGCGGACCATCCGTTCGCGTTCTTCGTGGTGGAGGAGAAGTCGGATGCGGTGCTCTTTGCTGGCCACGTCCTTGACCCAACAAGCTTGGAGTAACAACGCAAGAAGATGAGTACTCCCTCTATCTTATACTCCTATATAAGATAGAAACGGATGGAGTAGAATGAAGTAGATAAACATAGTGATATTTCAGTGTTTACTAGAAATACGTAGAATATCTCTAAAGCCAAATAAAGTAAGCTACATTTTGTTTGTTTGGTAACATGTATCAGCATACATGTGAACCATATTGCAGCATTGCTCCTTTATTTCATGAATGTTTTGGTAAAAAAAGAAAATTCATCGATCAATGAAATGAAAATGGTCAGGATGGGCCTGGTGCAGTCCTTTTTTGGACCGAGCTAGGCTGAATAGTTTTTCCTTTAAACAAGCCTATCTATACCTAATTAAAAAATACGTATGGTTTCCGGATGATTTTTTCTCCGTCATTGTCAACATCCGCTACACGATTTTTTTTCCAAGCGAAACGGACGAAACCCTATGTTTCTAGCTAGGTTCGCTTGTCTATGATAGGGCTCGATTCCAAGCTCAATACGAAGCGGATTTGCTCCGATTCTTGGGGAAACGGAAAGAGGCGATGATAGGGCTCAATTCCAAGCTCTATACAAAGCGGATATGCTCCGATTCTTGGGAAAATGGAAAGAGGCGACGAGGATAGAAACCCCTTAAGATTTGCTCCGATTCTTGGAAAAATGGAAAGAGGCGACGAGGATAGAAACCCCTTAATCAATTTTGGATTATCCTCATTCTTCAAGAATACAACCGGATTTTGGGCAACCAAGTGAGTCCGGACGGAGGTTATATAGCGATGGGCCCACGTGACAGTGAGAGGAAGAGCAGGGGACACCAATTAGACTTTCGGTTGCTTGCTGGGCCGAACGTGCGCTTGCGGGCTGAGGGCTGAGGCGGAGGTGAAAAGAAGGGAGGAAAGTGGGCTGGTATTTGGGAGGCTAATTAGACTTTCGGTTGCTATCTGGGCCGAACGTGCGTTTGCCGACAAAGGACAAGGGAGGAAAGTGGGCTAGCTCGGCTGCTGGCTGAGGAAGAACATGGGATGAAAATGGTCCAGAGAGAAAAGATGGTTTGTATTTAGATTTTTATTTAAGTGAATATTGAAATGGTGTTTGTATTATTAAAATTGGCAAAATTTGCTATAAGACACGTAAAAATTGTGTAATTAGCTGAGAGACACCGCGAAAATATGACACTACCCCAGGACACTACAACAACTGTGAAAGTCATAGTAGGACACCAGACGCATTAATTTATCATTTCCTGGTTAAAAGTGGTGAGATTTTTTTCCAAATGCCCAGATTGCCCCGTGCGTCACCACACAAAAAAAAAATCTCTATTAGGATGGTGACGATGAAAGAGTGGTTGGCCAGAGGGGCGTGGCGAGTGGCGGCGGCATACCCGTGTGGCAGGGCGCGGCCTGGCGGCAGCAGCGCCGGTGCAACGAGGGAACGGACGAGCGGAGGAAGAGCTTGGCCGGGTGTTGGCACCAAGCGCGGTGGGGCTAGGATAGCACAGCACGGTGCAGCGACGCTGGTAGACCGGCGGAGGTAGCACGACGTTCGCGAGATGTGTGGCTATGGAGGTGGCATGGCAGCCCTACGGTGGCCGGCAACCCAGCCAAACAAGACGTCGGCGCCGCCGAGTAGCTCTTACGACGCGTCATGCCTAGACGCAGCGGCATCGCTGGCCAGCAGCTCGGCGCGGCACATCCCGCGCCACAGGAAGACGCAGCCGGCATGGTACCAATTCCCGCCAGGCCGAAGCAGCTCCCTCGCAGTGGCAGCTGCCCCAGCATCGGGCCGAGCAAGCTCTCGCTGTCGTCGTGAGCCCCAGCCAAGGTGGTGGTCGCGGCGCCGCTGGACGAGCTCACGGCGTTCTGCGGGGGCTTTAATAGGACGAGTGTTGCAGCATGAGGATGTCCAGCATTAGTGTGACCGACATGGATGTGGACAACCCCGTTGAGCTCCGCCTTTGTCCCATTGAGCACCGCTTGCCTGCGCGCCGACGACGCCCAACCGAGCCGGCACCACCTCCCGTCCTACTCTAGCACCACCTCCGCCGCGTTGAGCCAGCCCCGACCCTTGCGCACGACCGCGTAGCGCTTCCCCAGCCGAGGTGCCGCACCGGACTGCGCCTCGCCGTGCTGCCGCTCTCGGTTGAAGAAAGAGGAGAGAAAGAGAGAGAAGATAAGGAAGAATAAAGAATAAAGAAAAAAAATGAAAGGTAAAACCGTACTTACATGGGTGTTTCTCTCTCAAATTCCATCAGATATAATAAAATAATCCGACGGGTGTCCAGCAGCTAATTACTGGTTTTTTACGGTGTCCTTTAGCAAATTCGCGTTTCTTGCGATGTCCACCAGCTAGTTACGTGGTTTTTGATATCCCGTAGCAAATTTTGCCATTAAAATTAGCAATTGACCTCTAAAAATTATGAGAAAATTCTAGAGAGTGTAACTAGTCATGGATAATATTTTATAAAAATTAAATCCAGCCATATAATTTTATTTCTCACACTTACTTTACAAATTAATTTAATTCTACACCAACCTACGTAGAAATACCAAGTATTCTGAAAATGTTGTATTTTTAATTAATTATATAATGCAAATCTTTCTCACCTTTTTTTTTCTCAATTTTGTTATCTTTTCTTCTCGTTGCAACGCACAGTCTGTTTAGTTTTTTAGTCTTATCTTTCTGTATATCTAAAGCTGGCCGTGTTGACGCCAGCTGATCGGCTCCCACATTCACCAATTAATTTACTGACACGTGGTGAAATACTGGTCGTATGATTCCTGAAGCAGAGTACCCAAGAGAGATGGAAGAGAAAGTGCGTGTGAGAAAAAAAAAACTGGCTACTTATCGTCCATACCCTGTCCAAACAGTACAATTTCACAAAATAATCCCTTGGCTTCTTTTCAATTGCATATTTAACGTCTTCAGAAAATTACATGATAAATTAGAATGTTTGCATGTAGCAAATAAAGCATATACAGTGAGAGTAATTCATCTTCTTTTCTGTATTTTTAGCGATGATAAAAAATGAGCCCAATATATCTAATATATTTAAAGGTTTAAATGTAAAAATAATAATAAAATCAATCGCACAGATTCTTTAAAATTGATTTACCTATAAAATTTCATATAGTAATAAATTAGCAGGAACACGAGTGAAACTAGGGATGAAAACGAAGCGGATTCGGACGGATAGTGGTTATACCATATCCTAAACCATATTTTTTAAGCGGATTCAGAACGGGTGTGGATAGTGTACGGATGCGGATACAGAGCGGATTGTTTCGGATGTCGGAAATGGTGCGGAGTCGGTGCGGAATCGGTTCGGAAGCGGATTAAATTTATCGGATGTTACGTGTATATGCAATCAATGCAACATCGAGTTAGCAATCCAAGGAAAAATAATACAATAATCAGTAAATGACCTATCGTAATAATTACATGATTAAGCGCTAAACAATATGAATACATGATGTCCATAGTATGAAAAATATAGTTACGTGAGTGTGACATGAGACGATAAAAGCCTTAGACTAAAAAATCTATGTTAATTGATGAATTAGGGAATTGGATGTACCAACTTATATTATATGCAATAGATAGAGTGGTTATATATGTTGATAATTTCGGATTATCCGACAAACGGCTTATCAGATAATCCGACAAAAATATCGGATAATCCGCATCCGTCGGATTTTAGAGATACCATATCCGCATCCGCCTCATACTAACCGCATCCGCATCCGTATCCGCCGGATTTCTAAAAGCCCATACCATATCGTTGTTTCGGACAGATTCGGAGCGGATATTATCCGATCCATTTTCACCCCTAAGTGAAACAACAACCCATTTCACAGTGATGGTAAAGAACATTAACACTACCTAACACCATATAAATTTATCAGCGTGTAGGTCAGTGGCAGTGGCGGGCCCAGGATTTTGAACTTGTGTATTCGAAATGGGGAGAGGAAAAAAATTTGTTCATACACCTAAAAACCTAATAATTAGCTTGTATATATAGTATCACACACTAATAATTATATAATATATAGCGTATATAACATAAAATTGAGCATAAGTTCACACATTGATAGAATTGATCATCACGTTTTAACATATAGAAATACTAATTGATAAACATATCAAAGTGCCACCATATGGAATACAAAAATGATAGAAAATGATAAATTGGGAAGAAATCTTACAATTTAGAGATTAACTTTTCGACGCTTGGCTTCGATTTTCCTTCTTTGCAGCAGATTTCTCAAAAAAGACTTCGAATCAATAGCAGGACCCTTCTTCCTCTTCATGTTTCAATTCTGAAAATTAAACAATGAATTGCAACTACAATTCAACAAACTAGGCAACTACAATTCTACAAACTAAGCAAGCAAGCAAGTATACTACATCAATCAATTGCAATTCCCAATCCTAAAATCTTCATTACAATTATTTAAAATTTGTGCTTTTGACTCACTATGCGGCATGGCCCGTCGGCGTCTTCGCGGTCTCGGGTTCTCAGCGAGTGGTGCCTGGCAGGCTGGCCACGGTCGTTGGCGCCTCGGCGGAAGAGGTCAAGGGGAAGGCTGGCCACGGTCGCTCAAGCCGGTGACGCCGACGCATGCGCCGCATGGCCGTTGTCGGCGCTGCGCCGCGGCTGCGCCTGTGCGCCCAGCCGGCGGCCGCCCCTGCCTGGCTTGCTTGCGCTGCCCCATGGTCGCTGGCTCGCCGCGAGGCCGCCGCCGCACGTGGCCGCAACCCGCAACGCACGCCGCTCCCGCGCCGCAACGCACGCCGCCACTGGCCTGTCTGGCTGTCTCTTGCAAATTTAGGGTTAGGGAATTAGGGATTTTTGGGAGGAGGGGATTTTTTTTTTCGAAATGGGCTCAGTAGCGGCTCAAGTAGAGACTGGGATTTATTTCGGGCTGGGAACCAATTTACTCATGATAGGTACAACAAAACATCCGGATTAGTTCCACACCTCTTAACTAGTGGATTGATTTCCGGTCTCTTATTGTCCCTATCATGAGTAAATTGGTTGCCGGTCCGAAATAAATCCCGTGCCGTCCTGTTGGCTAGTGGTGACAATAGTCCTTGGCTGGTAGCCCTGCTGAGTAATCTCTAGATAGGGTCGATGGCCAAAATGAATAGGTATGGGGATAAGGGATCTCCTTGTCAAAGGCCTCTCTTGTGTGCAATTTGCTCTCTTGCGATCCCATTGAGCAACACTTTTGATGATGCCGTCGACAATAGTAGTGTGATCTAGTTACACCACCTGTGGCTAAACCTTTGGTATTGCAACATTTCCGAAAGATATTCCCAGGATACCGAATCGAAGGCCTTTGCTATATCCAATTTAAAGAAGAGGCATGGCTTCCTCTGCATATGCATGGAGCAGACCATGTTTCTGACATAAAGGAAGTTGTCTTGGATGCATCGTTTCTTGATAAACGCACTCTGCGCATGTGAGATCAGCCCATCTAGGCGTTGTGCCAACCTCATGGCCAGTGTCTTAGAAATGAGCTTCGCCACTAAGTGGATCAGACTAATAGGCCTGAAATCATGGACCAGAGAAGGTGAATCTTTCTTTGGCAGCACGGCTATCATGGCTCGGCTAATGCTTCCAAAATTTCCCCCCGATAAGTTATAGAAGCATTGAAAGACCTCTAGAATCTCTCGCTTGATTATATGCCATCAGTTCTTATAGAAAGCCCCAGTGTAACCGTCTGGCCCTGCCGCCTTTTCCTTCGGACATTGCCGCCCAAATCTCTTCTTCTGAGAAGGGGCCATCCATGTCATCTGTATCTTCATCTTGTAGTTTTTCCAGGGCTAGGGCCTCCCAGTTTATTGTGCAGTTCCTCCGTTCCCTTGCTCCCAGATTAATTGAGGTGAGATGCGCATGGAGGTGTTCTGCTTTGTCCTCATGAGTGTGAATGGTGTTGCTGCCACGCTGCAGACAGTGGATAAAATTCTTTCTTCTGCGAGCATTGACTTTGATGTGAAAAAGTTTTGTGTTTGCATCCCCTTCTTTGAGCCATCTAACTCGCGAGGCTTGTTTTTTCCTTGCCTTTTCCACTGCCGCCACCCCAAAATTCTGGCTTTATTTGAGATCTTTTCTAAAACGGTGCTCCTGTGCCGACAAGGTCCTTACTTCCTGTGCTATATCCAACATGTATATTAGCTCCTGCACCATTGTGAATTGCATTCTTGACTGCCCAAAATTTGTGGACTTCTTCCTTTTTGTTGCTCATTCGAATGAATTCAGTTATGCACCAAGTTGAGTATTGTTGATTCCAATGATTCGGGATGGAATGCCGTTGATTTTGTGACTCTTTTTTTGTTAGATTTATTATCTTTGATGGATTTAAAGCATCAGATCTAATTGAGCTAAGCCTCTCTGATTTTTTAAATAAAAAATCATGCAGTTCATGACGTTCTCAATCGGCACCGATAAGTGAGAACCCTCTCTCATCAGTGCCTCTTTCATGGTGCTGGCCGGGAATTAATCTGGCACTAGCCGGCACCAATATGGTGTTGTGTAGTAGTAACACTGGCATAATACTAGTAGCCGTCGGTGATGACGGCTTTCTTCTCGACTCGACCTGTGTGTCGTGTGCTTCGAAGCGCAGCATTAAATCTAGCCTGATGCGGCGCGCGGCTGCCTACAATGGTATAAAAGGGGAAAGTGAAATCATCCCTCGAGGGGATATCCTCTCGTTTCGTGCATGTCACCTAAATAGTCATAAAAAAATATGAAAAAAAAATTAGAAACATATATTAATATGAAATATATCACTCCACAAACATGCAAGTTTAAATTTAACTTCTATAAGTTGTAACAAAAATAACAAATATAGTTGCGAATGTGCGATAACTATTTTCAGTTTAATTTGTAATTTTTGTTGCAACTTATAGAAGTTGAATTTGGTCTTGTATTTTTGTGGAGTGATATATTTCGTATTAATCTACGTTGTCATTTTTTTTTTCAAATGTTTTGATAACTATTTTGCAACGAGGTGAGGTGATGTCCCCTCGAGGGATGAAAATCCCCATCCGTATAAAAGGAAATTATTCATGGTTAATGTGGTAGTTTTATCTTCTCCATATTCTCCTGCAAATTTAAGGGTAAACATATCTTAATTAACTTCCATCTGCCATATATGCGCACCGACTTATATACAGTAATAATTTGTACGTACGTTTAACGACCCTTGCGGCGTACGTCTAGCACGATCTACGTACCCTGGTTGCATTGCGATCCAATCAAGAAGTATCGATCTCATCATCACCCATCACCATGGAAGACAACGCCGGCGACTGCGGCGGCATGACGGCCTTCGCGCTCCGCCTGGCGAAGCGTCTCGCCGACGTCGGCGTCAGCAGCAACAAGAACCTCGTCTTCTCGCCGGCGTCCCTGTACGCCGCGCTGGCGCTGGTGGCGGCCGGGGCACGGGGCACCACCCTGGACGAGCTCCTCGCGCTGCTCGGCGCCGCGTCGCTCGACGACCTCGAGGAGTCCGTACGCCGCGCCGTGGAGGTCGGCCTCGCCGACGAGTCCGCGTCCGGCGGGCCGCGCGTCTCCGACGCCTGCGGCGTCTGGCACGACGAGACGCTCGAGCTTAAGCCGGCCTACCGCGCCGCCGCCGCCGGCACCTACAAGGCCGTGACGCGCGCCGCCAACTTCCAAAGACAGGTCAGTCAGTCCAGGGTTTCAATATGACGATTTGTGAAATTTCGACCAACATATGTAGTAAATTCGATCAATCTTGGTATGTAAAACTTTCATATGCAGCCAAAGAGATCAAGAAAGAAGATCAACAAGTGGGTGTCCAAGGCGACGAACAAGCTCATCCCCGAGATCCTCCCAGATGGATCAGTTCATGTCGACACCGCCCTCGTGCTCGTGAACGCCATCTACTTCAAGGGCAAATGGTCCAATCCCTTCCCCAGGTCGAGCACCACCACCGGCAAGTTCCACCGCCTCGACGGCAGCTCCGTCGACGTCCCGTTCATGAGCAGCCGGGAGGATCAGTACATCGGCTTCCACGACGGCTTCACGGTGCTCAAGCTGCCGTACCACCACCGGACCATGAAGAACCATGGCGATGGTGGCGACACTATCACCAACAGTAGCATCACTCGGGCCATCCTCGAGCACTACGGCGGCGAGAACGTAGGGCTGTCGATGTACATCTTCCTTCCGGACGAGCGCGACGGCCTGCCGGCGCTCGTCGACAAGATGGCGGCGTCGTCGTCGTCGTCCTCCTTCCTGCGCGACCACCGGCCGACGCGGCGTCGCGAGGTCGGCGACCTCAGGGTGCCGAGGTTCAAGGTGTCGTTCTACAGCCAGATCAACGGGGTTCTGCAGGGGATGGGGGTGACGGCCGCCTTCGACGCCGGCGAGGCCGACCTGTCCGGCATGGCGGAGGGCGTGGATCAGCGGGGCGGCGGGCTGGTGGTGGAGGAGGTGTTCCACAGGGCGGTCGTGGAGGTGAACGAGGAAGGCACGGAGGCGGCGGCGTCCACGGCCTGCACGATCAGGCTCTTGAGCATGAGCTACCCGGAGGACTTCGTCGCGGACCATCCGTTCGCGTTCTTCGTGGTGGAGGAGACGTCGGGCGCGGTGCTCTTCGCCGGCCACGTCCTTGACCCAACAAGCAGCTCAGAGTGACAATGCAAGAAGATGAATAGCATAATAATAGAATAGATAAACAAAATGAAATTTCAGCGTTGATTAGAAAACTACCTAAATTTATGGCGCCATACTTTTTATGAAAAAATAGTCAGCATATATTTTTATATTGTAAGTTTCTAAACGTATAATTTTAATGTATTTATAATGTAAGTCCCAAAATTACATATGTAAGTCTCTAAATTACATATATAATTTTAGTGTATTTACTGTATAAGTTCTAAAATTACATACCTAAATTGATGTAAGTAGCTATTAGTAGAGAATCGATGCTAGTGCTAATTTAATGGGAAACTAATGGTGGCACTTTTTTAGTGAACAGGAAAAGAGAGGAAAATCTCTGACCATGCCGGCTATGATCTACGGACGTGAGTCGACCACGACGCTCGCATGCGCATCATGCGGATCAGGCTATCCGATTGAAATCGAACCCAAAATATGGCGACAGAGATTTAGCAATACCGTTAGAAATATATAGGATTTCTAGAGCCAACTAAAGCTACATTTTTTTTTCATTTGGTAGAGTAAGACCTTTTTAGTGTCACATCGGACGTTTGACCAGATGTCGAAAGGGGTTTTCGGACACAAATGAAAAAACTAATTATATAACTCGCCTGGAAACCGCGAGACGAATATTTTGAATCTAATTAAACCGTCATTAGCACATGTAGATTACTGTAGCACTTATGGCTAATCATGGACTAATTAATTAGGCTCAAAAGATTCGTCTCGCGATTTACATGCAAACTGTGCAATTAGTTTTTTTTTATCTATATTTAATACTCCATACATGTGTCAAAGATTCGATGTGATGTTTTTGGAAAGGTTTTTGGGGAACTAAACAAGGCCTAATTTTATCATCCTTGAAAAGATATATTGGGAGGTAAAACTTGGTACCTTCCGTACCACGTGGTATAAAATTTTAGCTAATTAGAGATATTTTTTCAATGACCATAAAAATTTTCTATATGGTACTCTATCTATTCCAAAATATAACAACTTAGAATTGGATGAGACAAATTCTAATACTACTAATCTAGACAGTAGGTCGGTCCAGAGTCGTAATACTAAATATTTCATATCCGGTTCTAGAATTTTATATTTTGTGATAGAGGTAGTAACATGTGTTAGCATTCATGTGAACCATTGCTCCTCTATTGTTAATGTTGTATTATTATGCAATGTTTCGGTAAATGTGAAAAAAATTATCAAATAATGTGGTCACCCGCAACATAGTCTACGTCAATCAATGAAATGAAAATTTTCAGTAACCATAAAATAAATTTTACTTTCTCGTAGTGTATGTAAGAATGAAATAAATAAAAATCAAATCATATGTGATGGCTTATATAGCGGAGGACACACTTAATTTATACCAGTAATATACCCATGCTAATGCTACGACCCATAATAAATGACCAAATTTTGTGTTAGTAAAATAATCAGTTTAATCAAAGCTTTAATTTGAATTAGGCCATACATTAAATATATTTAAGAAAAAGTACAAAGTAAGTATTTCACCACACCTATTTTGTTGGAACGTGTTAGAACGGGCCGAAGTACTTTTTAATTATAAATATTTCGTGCAAGTGGGTAAGCAGTCGAATAGCACGTGACTTGGAAGGCGGTATAGGATGAAAAAAACTGAAAAAACACGACTGCCGTTACAATTTTTTTAATTAACTCAAATCACTGTGTACACTGGTTTTTGCCGTACTGATTAAACAGACTTCAACCCATTTGAGATAAACAACAGAGCACCCAAGGTGAAAAAAACAGAATAACCGAATAGTCTATTTATGAATCTCTCGGTTTGAGAGAGAGAGAGAGAGAGGGGGGGGGGGAATCGCCAAGGATACCTAATCGCACATGTCAGGAGTTTAAAGGACAAAATTTTTCTCATAAATGGCTGGAAACATCAACAAAAACTGCCCAGGCCCCAGGGAAGATATAAAATCCACACATAGAATTGGTACTTGCTCTGTACAAAATTTCTATTATCATGTGAATATCGCGCATGTCAATTATGCACCAAAATTAGCCAAATTTCGTTCTAAAGCAACACAATTTCTTTCGAAAATTTACCAACCGCCCTAGCTATTAGCAGTGCTAATTTAGCACCATACGACCAATTCTAAATTAGCCACAGAAACCTGCACAAGGTATCATCTAGAAATCCCTTAGAACTAATTCACCATTTGCTCAGAATTTTAAATCAGATACAAGAACATTTTTGGCAATATTGAACAATCAGACTACTATTATTCATGGTAATGTAGGTTGATCCTGCAATGGAAACAACATATTCCACAGTAGATAGAACCTCTCGCTTTTATGATTTGTACTAAACTTAATTACAAAATGGGTTCTGGATAGTTTGATCGTAATCACTGGTCATCAACCATTGCTATAGACAGGAATTTTCTTCATCCTCACATATCATCAGATAAGAAAGGGACCAACATTGTTCTTAAAAACTCTGTTACCATAACCCATGTAGTAAATGTCAACGGGAAGTAAATGAAAAAAAAAGAAATTATTCAAACGTTTGATGAAAATAGGAAAAAAAAGGCAAACCAATCAACCAACAAATCCATATATTGTCTTGTTTGATAACCTCTTCCTGCACAATCTCGAGACCACATTTTCAGTTTTGACAAGTAAAACTAAAAAGATAGAACATATCATGTTCAGGTGAAAACATCAACAAAACATGGGTGATCGGTTGTACTAGAATTGGTGAAGCCGCAATCATCAAGCTAGGCACCGTGATCACCTACATGTCAGCGGTGGTGTTCAAGAGAACCACCATGCTCGTTGTGCTCATCCACTAAATTACTGAATATATAGGCTCATCCACTAAAACCAATCATCCGTCACAAATGCCTAATACTCATGAATTCATCCACCACAAATGCCTAATACCTGAATAAAGCCCATGAGATTTAACTGAAAACAAGTGGCAAACAAATATAGATTGAAATCCATATCTACAACCCAATCAGAGAACATGCAAGGATACCTCAACTGATATCAGAACATATTTGCATGCACTTGGAATCTAAATTGACTAAGTGCAGCTATAAATAAAGACGTTCAGAGCTCTCTTAAAATCGAAAAGTAACATGTTATGTTTGATTTCAATATTCGTGAACCAATTACACAAAATCAAATATGAAATCATCCAAAGTTTATTTTGATTATGAGTTTGCCATCATATCAAGAATTTTGTTTAGAAAATCCGCAAACTCATAAGACGCAGAAATTGGATGCAAGCTGAATTTTGCATCCAATTCATAAGCTAGCTATAATGATGATGGCTGTACAACTCTGACTGGACCAAGTTTTTTCTAAAGCCATAATGGATTTATGCAAAGAAAGAGGGAAAAGTGGGCGTTTGTATACTGTAGGAACGTATATATAAAACCTTACAAACTCCATGCACAATAAAATAGCAAATTGAGAAAGAATCATTTGACCAGGTTGCATGGAAATCTGACAAGTCTGAAGTTTAGAGATTGTATCTCATCTTGCACTTTCTGTTGAATAAACAAGAATCCTTTCACAAAAGCAATGTTGCTACCTGTCCGGAACAGAAAATAGGAAGTAAAGGGCAGCAAAACTGTACAGCAATGTTGACAAATCCTCCTCTTGATTTCACAAAAGCAATTTATCAAAGACAAATAAAATGGATCTCTGTAATTATGTGCATGATTTGCCTCACAAAATTAGTTTATGAACTGTAGCAGATATGATGCTGCCCTGGGAAGTGCTATGTTCCCAATGTATCAGTAATACAAGAAATAAACAATTAATAGGACTGAGAGGCAAACATCTGAATTGTGATCCATATAGAGACTCCTGTACAGCTCTTGAATCATGGAGCTGAAAAAACACATTATTCATTTGAAAACACCAAAATACACACAATTCTCTCCAATAGCAATTTACTCTGGTCAGTGTTCCTCTGCAACTGAAGCCATATAAAAACTTGTCACCATGCCATGAATCAGAGGAATGTAAATATCCCTTATCCTAAAGCTGGCATCAATATTTACATAATGCTATACCTCACCTATATACATGGCAAGGTCTTTTGAGCTGTATTTTATAGCTCAACAGTACAGCAAAACCAAATGCTGGAACCAAATGCACAGAAGCTTCGGGTTTTTTCCCTTATACAAAGCAAGTTACTGAAAATTTATAAACACATTTTGAATATATGTGATGATACTCTTTGACTTTTTAGATGCCTTGCTAGCAGACATCTTAACAGCCAGGAAAATACCCCTATGCTCACCTCACAATCATAACTTTCCTATAGAACGGAAATAAAAAATAGGTACTTTTACATGAAAAACAAACCGAAATTCACTCTAAAATGCATGGCAGATTTCAGGAAAATAATGCAGTCAGTAGAACCATCAACTCGTAAAACTCATGAAATCTTTGGAGGTACTCTCCATGGTTGCGCTATGTATGTGTGTGACCTAAATTAGTTTCATCTTACACCTTCAGCCAACCTTGAGCTTGGACAAGTCCAAGTTCAGCTTTTTAATTGCCCTTTTTAGGATAAGTCCTAGATCATATATTTTTTACCCTTTTTAGGATTCGGGTAAAAAATGGTTTACTGAACTTATGAAATTTAGCTGCAACTTAAGAGGATTGAAAAGACATTGTGAAGGCATCTATTTTCACTTATTTATTTATTTATTAGAAGGTAGATAAGGAAACTGCAAATATCAAAATACACGAGCCTAAATATTTTGATCCGAAAATGTATACCGATCTGAAACCAATCTTTTCGTAATTAAAAAAGAGTGAATTACATATTGGGCTAGGTTTTCTTACATGAATTGCACAATGGACTAAGTCTTAGCAAATAATTTCACTTTATACCGGCTATTGTTACCATAGCATGCAATTTGGACTATAGGCCCACATGTCAGCCAGATCAAGTGTTCTCTCACTCTTCCCCTTCTTTCTTCTTCCTCCAGACCCATCATTCCCCAACCCCACATCATCACCCTCTACTTCCATTCCCTGTCTACCACCATATATTTTTGCTCACTGCTGTTTGAGTTTGATGATGAGATCGAGCACTAGCAGATCCTGCCGCTACTGCTGCAAGAATTAGAGCACAATACATCACGAGGAAAAGGAGCAGCTCCTTGTTGGGGGGGGGGGGGGGTGCTGGTGCAGCCTGAGCTCGATCTCGATCTCGTAGGTTGATGTACACAGACCTTGAGTGTTAGGAATGTGAAACAAAAGCTTGAGCTCGACTAGGATGCTCAATGGCACCATTCTGCTGCAGCATTCAGGTTAGTCGTGTTGTGCTTGTGCCAATCCACCAGCGTGAGCCATTATCATTGGCAGGCAGGTGAATCTAGCTAGGTAGCACGTTGCAGGCAGTGACTGAGTTGGAACAAGTAGGAGACGTTGAAGATAGGGTTGTCTAGTATGGAACTAAAGGTAAAAAACCCTGTGCTAAAGTGAAAACATGAGATGTGTCATAGCCCAAAGTGAAACTTTAGCAATAATAACTAGCCCAATATGCAACTCACTCTTAAAAAATATGAGAGTACAAGAAAACCTTGAGAATACAATCATACGAGGTGATGTGGATGCGCTTGGAGTAGTGCGATATAGATCTGTTTCCATTATTAAGAAATCAATTTAGTTTTGCAATAACCCCTTAATAAAAATAAAATATAATGCATACCAATAGATTCCAGCTAATTAGCCAACAACCGATAACCTAAGTAGGAAGTTATGGTACTCGCTGATATTAATTGCTGATTGAAGTAACCTGAGTTCCACTATCCACCAACTTTGCATATCATTGATAACCTTCTTCAAATAATCTCCAAGGAAGACAGGGGCAAGAGTATATTATTTTCCCATTTTATATTTTCTACACAGTTTTAAATTGATAGCCTCAAGTCAAAACTAAATTGGTCTGATAGATCACTCCATGTAGAAGTCCTCTAGGGAGAGGAGATCTGTTTTGCAGCGTATCCCCTGATTATGCTTGATCACTCCATAAAAATGAAATTACCTGTAGCCTTCAAATGTGATGAAGCCATGTAATTTTCTGGTGCCATAGAATTAATAACTGATATACATGGTTCAGAAACGAGCTTATATTTGAAGCATGATGCAGAGAGTATCAAGACAAAACATGTAAAATGTGAAAGGAAAATTAGCATCCGGTTGAAATATGAATCAGGCTGAACATTTCCAATGAATAGCACAAATAGAATCGATAATACAAACCTGAAGAAGAAATGCCTGGCTGGGTGATGGCGGCGATGTGGTCAGGCAGGCAGCGCTGGCTTCGGCTCGGCTGTACCGGTCGGTAGTGACGCGGGGCGACGATGCAGGAGTCGGCGCCGGTCAACAGCGGCCGCGGAGGACATCGGCGAGGCGGGAGTCGGTGCCGGTCGGCAGTGGCCGCGGAGGAGATCGGCGAGGCGTCGTTGGTATTGTCCTCGACGGTTGGTGGCGGCGCAGACGAGGGAGAAGTCGATCTCAGTGGAGTTGAACCGGGGGATGCGGTGGCAGCGGTGCGACGGTGAGGGCGAGGTGATGGTGACCTGGTCCGGCGGCCATTGCAGACTTCAAGCGCGACCGTGAGGGCGAGGCGACGACGATTTGGCGAGAGATGGAACGCGATGCGAGGGGACGGGGTTGCGGCCTTGCGGGGGGTTTGGCGCAGATCGCATCGTGGGTGGACAGGAAGCTCGTGGCTCGTTAGTTCGCTCCGCTTGTGACTGGCTCGGCTCGGCTCGTTTGAATTTCCTAACGAGCCGAGCTGGCATTTTAGCTCGTTAGATATAACGAGCCAGCTAGCTGGCTCGCGAGCTGCTCGCAAGTCTTAACGAGCCAGGACTCCATCAGACAACCCAAAAGCCCAATACAATAAAAAGGCCTAAGCCACAAGTAGATACTGTGCAACTGCAAACCCTAGTCCTCTCGAGACTCACTCCTCAATTCCCCACCTGGCCACCCGAGACACGATGCTGCTCCGCCTCTCCCCCAGCGGCCGACGCCACCGGTCTCCGACTCTCCCCCAGCGCCCGCCGCCACCAGTCTCCACCTCTCCCCCAGCGTCCTCCGCCGCTGGGAAATCCAGCTCCCGCCGCCGCTGGTCTCCGCCTCTCCCCCAGCGCCCGCCGCCGTCGGCCACCTCAAGCGCCCGACGCCGCTGGCAAGCTCAAGCTCGTTTCCTCATGGTCCAACAGTGAACCGTTCAAGTGCCAGCGGAGCTACGGAGGTGAGTTCTCCCCCTCCACCGTCGAGCTCCTCCCCGTGGTTAACGGGTTCGCGATCTTAACGAGCTAGCTCGAGCTTGTTGACGAGCCAAGCCGAGCTAGGTTTCTAGCTCGTTAGGATAACGAGCCGAGCCGAGCTAGCTCGTTATCCTAACGAGCCAGACCGAGCTGAGCCGAGCCAGCTCTACATCCACCCCTAGTTGTGCGAGGGGATGGGGAGGAGATCGCGGCAATACTGGTGGCGCAAATCGGCGGATGCGGTGTGGGAGAGAGGAAGGTGTGGGATAGGCGGATCTGGGAGGGAGGAGAGGCGCGCCTCCGGTGCCGTCGGATGTAAGTCATCGGATGATTTCATACCGTTCGATGTGTCACACGATGAATGAGTAAAGAGTAAAATCATTTATTTGAATTATAGGGTAGATATAGCCTTTAAAAGTAACTGAACAAATGTTACAAACGAATAAATTTTCTTACTAACATGCATCATGTACTACGAAAACAGGACTAAACTCCATCCTCTGTTTCTCTTCTCTTACGTTTGCACATGTTGGCCTGCCAGCAATTGTTAGACATACATCATGTACTACGAAAACAGGGCTTTAACAACAACTTGATCACCATCCTCTGTTTCTCTTCTCTTACGTTTGCACATGCTGGCAGAGAAAGCAATTGATAGGCAGAAAATGCCCAAGCCAAGTTTAATCGTTGCAATATGCGGCTGACAAGAATTGTTCTTGCGTTTTGCTTTCGTCATTTTTCCATTTCTTTTTCACGTACCTATCCTTCACATAGATCTTAAATCCACAAACTTCTAAAATCATTATTCACATGTGTACAAATTGTACAATAGATCAATCTATTACTGATAACTCGATTCACCTATTTCAAATTTCACTTTCCCCAATCAAACGAAGGACATGAGTGTCAAATGTGGCAAGCACGTAGACTAATAACCTTATATCCATTGCCGAAGCTAATTCACATTTCAAAATTTTCCTAATCAAATCAATCCACGGACAAAAAGTCAGACATGTAAATTAATGACCCTCAGCCCACTTCCAAACCGTCGGCCCCGTTAAGGTTTGAAATTTTGGTTAGAAATTTCAGAGTACCAACCCCACACACATTGGCACGAAACTGTTCGAAAATTTTTTTTTCGTGAATTTAATAAAATTTAATCAAATACAGTCAAAACTTGTTCCCATACCATTTTTCTCATTCCAGAATTTTGAAAATATAAACCCAGGTCTCGATCCTTCAATGCCTTGCAGTAAACAATCTAGATAAACGTGGCTGGCCAAATAAACAAATATGCCGCCTATAAATGCGAAGCTCAAGACGAAGATTGCAAGCATTTGCTCATGGAATGCTAGAGGGTTAGGATAAATATGATTAAGAGGGAGTGTAATATACAGAAGATTCATCTCCAATTAATTAGTATAGTGGAAAAAGGACATAAGAGAACTACAATACACATGTACTTCTATATTTTCAATATAGTAGATACTTAACACATGCATGCTTATAAGGCTAGGGCTTAGTTCATGGCATTCAAGTACTACCAAGAGACCATTCCTTGCTGATATGTTAGCATGGTTATAGCATTTAGGCAAAATTTGCTATAGGACATCTAAAAAAACGTGTAATTAGCTAAGAGACATCACAATATCGTGAAACGGCTGAAAGACACATAAAAAATGTGTAATTTGTTGATGGACACTATGAGCAATAAAATAATATATACACCTAGCTGAGGAGAGAGAAGCTATGTGAAATGTCAATTTTGCCCTTTTCTTTTTTTCACTGTCTTTTTATTTATTCCTGCTGCTCGTTTAGTGTGATGATAGTGCTCGTGTACGTGGACCCCTTGGTCACTACGTGCGCCGGCAGCGCCGCATGGTAGAGCATCGTGTCCCGATGTCCTTGCACTGTCCCGCAACTCCGCATGGTACGTGGACCCCTGGCGCTGTCGGGGTAGGAGCTGTTGTGGCAGACGCTGAGCGACTTGTCGACGGACCAGCGGGCGCTAGGCCTGGTAGTGCGAGGTCGCTGCCGTTCACGGCGTTTGTGCTGCTCTTGTCGCTGGCGCTGCTCAAGCTGGTGCCACTGTGCGCGCTCTAGGCGGCGCTGTGCCTCCTCCGATTCCCCGCCGTGCGCGCCGATCGAGTTCAGGCAACACATCGCCATGAACTATCTCTTCGCGCCGTGGATCTCGTGGCTGCTGCTACTACACTCGGCGTTGTTCCTCCGCCCCGACGCGCGCTCCTACCACACGTTGTGATGGGCGTTCTCGCTCCCCAAGGTGGTGTTCTTCCTCTTCTTCGCCGCGCGGAGCATGGTAGCTCACCTGGACGCCATCTCGACCCCCTTTGGCACTTGCTGCAAGATGCTCTTCTTCCACCGCCTTCCACTGACGCTCGCCACCGGTCAAGGCCATCGCCACCACCCTTGAACCTAAGTTTGGCCTCAAGGGCAATTTGGTCCTTTTTAATTGTTTGTCCCTCCATTTGTTCCGAAAATAATAAAATAATAGTGAAAGTGTCCAATGGCAAATTACATGATTTTTGGAGTGTCTTTCAGCCGTTTCACGATTTTATGGTGTCTCTTAGCTAATTACATATTTTTTGAATGTCCTGTAGCAAATTTTGCCTAGCATTTACGCACTCTTATATCATACCCGGACGTGGATGAATACAAGGGACGGACAAGGCTATCACCACCTGCTGCCTACCTCACTTTCTGTCGGACATACCCACATCAAACGGTATTTATCTAACCTAAGCACTATGCTTATGCTAGTAAATAGTGATACTAACTCCTCAGGACTTCCACCATTCGGATGGACAAGTTAGAGTTAGAGCAACTCATCAAGGTCATGGGATCGTTGCCGTAGCATAGATCGACTAATCTAATCAAGTGAAATATATAAATGAAGTATATCTTATTAATAAGGTATATAACTACTAAAGCAATATATAAATTATGAACACTTTAGAAGATAATTCTATTAATTCAACTATATAGTCTTACAATAAGAATAAAGTATTAAAGATATACCAGAATCTCTTATAAGACTATAGGACCGAAGATATGCTAAACCTATTTCCACTAGTACTATAGAAAATATAATCTCTGAGAAGACTATAGGACCGAAGAAGGCACACGATCAAGAACAAAGACCAACCCAAGGCTCCGTCCTTATTTGTCATATCTTTTAAACAATAGAACAAGGTTTGCACTGCCTCCTGTAAACATGACACATATATGGGGTTGCCCATTTTCATTTTTTATCTGAATTTCTGAGATACCAAAAATTTCATGATTTTCATACTTTTTTGCAAAAGAATGTTTGAAATTTTATCAATTTTTGACTCAAAAATTTCGTGCGAGATATTTGCTTTCCGTAGGGTGTGAAATTACCTGCATAATAGTCCCATACTCGAGACTAAATTAATTATAAAATGGCCAGGATAAACTCTGATTCGGACTCGGCATCACTACCTTGAAGTATATTTTATTGAGTGTGGGCTTTTCTGCATGCTAGCCATAGGAGTCAATGTTTTAAGAAGGAAGAGATAAAATAATTCGGTGTTGACTATTACCATTCTAACTTTGACCATTAATTACAATTAATTATAAAATGGCTAGGATAAACTCTGATCCGGACTCGTCATCACTACCTTGAAGTATATTTTAGTGAGTGTGGGCTTTTCTGCGTGCTAGCCGTAGGTACTCTAGAAGTCTAGATTACTCATTCTATTTTCAAATAATTCGGTGTTGACTATTACCATTCTAACTTTGACCATTAATTACTTTTAAATCAAAATGTAACATTACTATGAACATAAATTTCATGGTTATGTTTAGGATAAAAGAAAAGGTTGGACCCAAAGAAGGACTTGGATTCAATGGTTTTAAGAAGGTAGAGGTACATATATTTTCCCTGGTGAGCGGGCTTGATAAGGGTCGAACCCGGGATGGTGGGGTGCATGCCAGCAACCCCTGCCCCTGCGCTACTAGCACATCACGTTATGTTTAGGATACAACACACCTTAATATCGAGATATATTTCTTTTTCTATGAAAATGAATGGTCAAAGTTTATAAACGAATAGCGTCCAGTGTCAATTATTTTATAGATGGAAGGAGTACTGTTTTGATATTGACCTCAGGACGTTGTGGAAGCATCTTGACTTGGCTATTTATAGATGATTTGATTTTCCACTCCATATCGTCAGTGAGCACCAGGATAGAAAAGTCGATATGTTTGAGAGATGTGATGTGCCGGATGCCAACCTCTAAACTGCCATATGTTGATTGTGCCCTCTCTGCACCGAATTCAACGCTAAGCCATTCGAGCTTTGGCATGCCTCCTTTGAATACCAAACCAGGTCCAGATCTGTTGCAGAAACGTAGGCGTGCCAAACATTGGAATGCACCATGGCTGATCCTGATTCCATACACGAGAGCTTCCCCTATGTCTAGGTGTAGGACAATAAGAGCAGGCAAATCTTCAAGAATACGTACATGTTCTCGTTCCATTTGTTTAACGTCGATATCCAAGTAGGTGAGACATCTAGAGAGTGTGGGATGAATCCACTTCGGAAACCTGGAAAAGTAATGTATATTGCAACTACTCTTGTAAACAAACTTTTCCAGGAAACACGGCGAAGGACACCAAGAATCTGCGAAACAATCTCCACTTCCATTGCAGCTGGTAATATAGACTTCCCGGAGGTTGTTTCCTCCAAGCTTGCAAAGGGATGGTATCATTGCTTCTTTTCCTGTTTCCCCTTCAGACAAGAACCTTACTTTGAGCACCCTCAAATTTCTCAAAAGTTGTAGATCTTTCTGAAATTTTAATAAATTTGTGGAGCTTCTACAACAACCTAAAAACCCTAATTCTTGAAGAGATTCCATGTTACCGAACCCATCCGGTAATATGAGATGATGTCCAACAAGACGCATCAACCGTTTGAGCTGAACAATACTTTCAGGCATCACTAATAATGAAGTATGGCGTAAATCGAGTGTTTGCAGATACTCTAGCTTCCCAATTTGGACAGGTAGGCAGTCAATTCTTGACCAACGGAGCCCCAAGTATCTTAGGTGAAATAAACCTACAATGCAATCAAGATAACTATTCCTGAGATCACAACGCTCTAGATTCAACACTCGAAGAGTAGGTAGGTTTAAAAGAGGAGACATCATATGGCCATCAACATGGTATATGTTAATTGAACGAAGGTTAGACGAATTCATGGTTCCTTGTGATTTTGCCCTTGTATATTCTTCTTTGTTCCCAACTAAAAGCCGGCGAATCCGTTTACGTGAAGATGGGTGATCCTGACAATCCAACTTGGTTAAAAAATTTTCTTCAGTTGACTGATGGATGATGAAGTTCAAAACTATATCATGGACTCGACATCCATCTTCTCCATTTGGCATGATCTGTATGTGTTGGACCAAGCTCCTATTTATCAGCTCGTAGAAATAACTCTCTGCAACTTCCTGCAAAGTAAAGCCTTGTTTTTTTGTTATGAATCCTTCAGCTATCCATCTCCATACCAGCACATCCTTACCAATCTTGTGATCCTCAGGAAACGTACCGAGGTGCAGTAAACAACTTTTCATATGATGTGGTAGATCATTGTAACTCATAAACAGTATCTTGTTCATTACCTCCAGGTCATTATCCTTCTCACTAGTAGAAACAATATAATTCAGAACTCTCTCCCATTCTTCCCTTGTTCTTGGTTTATCAGCTAACAAGCTAGCTATAGTAATAATGGCTAAAGGCAAACCATCACATTTATAAAGTATATCACTGATAATCCCTTCCAGCTGACTGGGGCATTTTTTTTCAGCACCAAAAGTCCTTGTGAGAAATAAATTTTCAGAGTCACTTTTGTTAAGAGGTTTCATCTGGTAGACAAAGCCCTCATCTGAAGCGCCGCAGCAAGATTGAGCTACACTTTTGATCCGCGTTGTTGTGATTATTCTACTTGCGTGCTTGTTTATAGGAAAAGCACATTGTATTGTTTTCCATGCTGACCTTTTCCAAATGTCATCAATCACAATAAGGTACCTATAAGCAAGTTTGTGAAGCAGTATGAATCATTTGTAGGCTAATAAATGCACCCATATTCATTTTTGGGAAACAGATCCCCTGACTTTATGCAGTTTGCAGTTGTGCCACTGACATGTGGGCCTCACTTTGGTATGGTCTACATGTCAGTGGCATAAATGCAAACTGTACAGGGGATCCTCATTCTCATTTTTGCATACGTACATGTGAACAATCTATATACATGTAAAACTATCTCTGCATGCAAAAGTTGTACTACATTTTGTGTTGGTTAATTTCAGCCTGAAATAATTTTGATTATTTGAAGGAATATAACTTCATCATTGGTAGAAACAAAATAAAAACAAAAGGCTACCACCACTATGCAGGGCATGGATATAAATCGATGTGTAGGAGAGACCACGATAGAAAATTCCAACAAGAAACTTTAATGAAAATTCCAAATGAAAAGAACTTTGAATGTTCTTTTTATATTAATCTAGCTACAGGCTGAGAGATGCACGGGTTGATTAATGATGACTAGAATATAAGAACCCGTATGAAAGCACACGATAGAAAGTAACTCAAGTAAACTTACCGTTCATCTTTCAGACATGTTCTTAGTTTGTCGATAAGTTGTTGATCACTATATGATTCCGTTGGTTCATTGCTCTTAATTTGAGAAAGCAACTCCCTTAGAAGGTTATCCATGTTGGGCTTTTGCGATACAGACACAAAAGCTGAAAAAGAGAATTGACCTTTAATTTTCTGATACACCTGGTTAGCGAGAGTAGTCTTTCCTAAACCTCCTTGTCCAACAATAGAGACAATCTTACGCTGCCCTATTGGCTCCACTTCCTCACTACCAAACCAATTGATGATTTCCTTCATTGGACCCTGGATGCCCACGAGTTTTTCCTTCTCCACATAAAGGGCAGGTAGCCGAGGATCAATCTCCCTACACAATTTGCTAGAAGTGCCCTCTTCAATCCTATACCTCTTTTGCCGTTCGTACGCTTCATTTACAAGAACATGAAGTTCCTCGATTTCCTTAGCAAACTTGTGGCGATGATGAAACTTCTTCACCTTGCGGAGGGTCTTGTGGAGAACCCTCTTGACTCCATTGGTTGTGTCAGCTGGCTCATGGTCGATACGGTAGGTGAAGAGATCTATGCTATCCTCCATGTCGTAGGCCAACTCGCGCATCTCCGCCATCCAGGCCTTCACCTGCACGTCTGGACTGTCCATGGCCGCGTACTTCTCCAGCGCGATGCCGATGGTCATTAGCTCCTTCGTGAGCTGTTCCAGCTTCTTCCTCACGCCCTTGACCTCCATGTACTTCTTCTCTATGAGGTTGGTGAGTTTTCTGAGAAGAGGGCTCATCGCCCCCGTTAGGGCGCTCACCACGATCTGCTCGACAACCCCTCCCATCTCCCTCAATCCCAGGCTATAATCAGTCTACTTTCTTGAATCAGAATCAGTCGATGGATCGATTATGGTGTGGCAGGATGAATTTCGTAGAGGTGCGATGAAAGAATGGTTGGTCACCCTCCAGCTAGTGTGCCTGTGGCGTAGTAGTGGCAAGAGCATCAGTTCTGTCCCTTTCCCATCTTTCAATTCAATGGGTGATTGCCGGGAGCATCAATTTCGTGTCTGAGAAGAAATAGCCAGGAACCCATCCGGGGCTACTGACTTTGTCGTTGAGATTTACAATAATTACAGATAATTAAACGAGTCCCACAGTATGTTGAGATCACTAACACTATTAAATGGATTGCCTTTAGTTTACGTTGGTTGGGAACCTTCTCCTTCAGCACACGGCAAACAGAGAAACTCATTCGCACATGATTAATTAAGTATAAGCTAAAACTAGCACCGGTGGAGAAATGCTTTTTAGTCACGGTTCGCAACCCCCTATAGTCCCGGTTTTTAAACTGGAACTACCAATCCGGGACGTCCCGGTTCAAATACCCGGGACTAAAAATAGATATTTAGTCCTGGTTAGTAACACCAACCAGAACTAAAAAGAGGGGATCTTTAGTACCGGTTGGTGTTACCAACCGGGGCTAAAGAGAGGGTTGCGGCAGTGAAATGATCCCCTTTTTCTTTTTTCTTTTTTTTTCTTTTTTATTTTCTCCCAAATCAAGTGGGATACATATCCCAAATCAAACCCCCAATCCACAAATCGAAGTAACATCTCAAATCTACATCACAAATCAAAGTTACTTATACACACAAATAAATACATCATAAATCAAATACATCACAATATCCTAAGAAATTACTCAAATACATCACAGATCCAAACAATGAATCACAAATTTGTAACTTCTCAGTCAAATACATCTCAGTGAATCATCACAAATTAAAAAAAAAAGAATGCTACTGCCGCCGCCGGTCGCCACGAACGACTGGCACGGCCCCACCGGCCGCCAGGCGCGGCCCTGCCGCCCGCCGCCCGCCGCTGGGCACGACCCCGCCGCGCGCCGCCGGCCGCCGCAGCGCGCGGCCCCGCCGCTGGCCGGCCCGCCGAATGGGAAGGGGAGGCCGGCCGGGAAGGGGAGGAGGAAGGGGGAGAGAAGGGGGAGGGGAGGAGGAAGGGGAGAGAAGGGGGAGGAGAGGAGGAAGGGGAGGAGTTGGAGAAGAGAGTTAGAGAGGATAGATCTAAGGAGAGGGGGTGAGATTCGATCTGTTAAATTGTAACTGTGGAGGAAAGGATAAGGGATAGGGATTATATACTACGTGTTTAATTTTAGTTTCGGTTGGTACTATCAACCGGGACTAAATATCATCTTGATCTTTAGTCCCGGTTGGTAGTACCAACCGTGATTAAAGTGGTGATCTTTAGTTCCGGTTATTGACACCAACCGGGACTAAAGATCCTCGGCCCCCTGACATACATCTGACAGGGGATGAACCGGGACTAAAGATAGTCCCGGTTGGTATGATCAAAATTTTTATAACTGGAACTAAAAACAATCTTTACTCCCAGTTCTTTTTGGATCCGAGACTATTATGGATTTTGCCGGACCGACCAAAGATGGTTTCTCCACCAGTGTAGCTTAAAAAGTATGATTTTTTTGAAAAACAACTTTCCTATAGAAATACCGTTTAGCAGTTTGAAAAGTGTGCAGGCGAAAAACTAGAAAGGAGATGGGAACACAACCAAACAAACAAACGTACTAAAAATATATATAATCCATCCTTGACATGAACATGCCTTTTTGGTAGCTACTACTACTTGCCTAGTAGCTTCGTCCTCCTTTTTAGATTAAAAAAAAGTACTCCCACCGTCCCAAAATATCAGTACTTTTGGACTCTGATACGGTTTTCGAGATGCTATTTTGATCAATGATATCTAAAAGTAAAATGTTTTAAATAAAAGAGTTACATATTGTAATAGTTTATTTAATGATAATCAAATCTAGTAACATCAATTTTACCTAGTTGATCCTTTTTTATTTTTTTTGTTATCTATCTATCTATCTATCTATCTATCAATCTATCAATCTATCTATCATATACTATAAGTCCATTAAACTTCCTACAAACGCTCTCAAGCAGCCATATGGTACTCATATAAACACTCCTAAGTTACCATGTGGCTCTCTAATAAATCGGTAGACCCGCTATTTTCATCTATTAGATTTAATTTTAGAAAAAAAAATCCCACAATCCATCTCCCTCCCCTCTCCCCACTAGCCCACCCTCCTCCCCTATGGTACGTACTCACCTATCCCTCCTCCCCTATGGTACGTACGTACGTATCCTCCCCCCACCTATCCGATCTTCTCATCTCTTTCTTTCTTTTCAAGTTTATTACAATTAAAAATATATTTTTTAAAATAATTTCCGTATAGAGAAATAATCATAATCTTTAAATTGCACATAAATCTTTTTATCGTTATTCATTATCGTATTCATAGTGCTTAACTAACCATTCAAATTAGAAGCTATTAAGAGCGGCGGGCTGGGCGGCCGCTCGCGTGCCACGTCGGATAGGTACAGTGCGCGGGTAGAAGTTTTGCGAAAAAATCCTTCTATTTTTTGTAATTATATATATGTCCTTATAAACAGTACTTGAAGGGGAAAAATCGCGGAAAGGGACTGCTCTGTAAAATAAGGAAAGAATAGGGTTTTTTTTTCAAAAATGACGCCCACTAATCTAACCCCCCAGACCTTATCCGCCGCCGCCCGCACCCTCTCCCTCTGCCCGCTCCCTCTCCCTCTCCGCCGCCGCCGCCTCGGCCACCTGGATTTTTCACATTTTGATCCTTTTAAAAAACTTATTTCGCAAATAGACCCCTGAAAAAACTTATCCCAGAAATGGTCTTTTTTGGGGCGCCAGAGTGGCTGGCGCCGTCATCCAACGGGACAGCGCCAGCCTCTCTGGCGCCGTCTTCCTGCCACCGTGGCGCACGCGAACCGACGTGGCAGGAGGAGCATGCTAGCGCCGCCGCCTCCATTCCTATTTCTCTGTATGGAGTTGCAACGGTGTCATTTTTATTTTATTTTTTCGGATGTTTTTTCACACTCAGGATCACGATACAAACAACCACAAAAAAAATTTAAACTTGAACTACCACTTAGCTAAGTCTGAAAATATCTAGCATACCACTTAGTTTACTTTGCACCTTCACTCGAATTAGACCATAACTCCTTTAGTAAAACCCTTTGATCAGCATGTTAAACATAATGCACTCTACCACTATATAAATTACTTAATCTAATTCAAAATATAACTACATGAAATGACATATATAAGTTAAACAGTACATAGAGATATAATTTTTTTATTTTTATTTCATTTTTTGATATTTTTTTCACACTTAGGAGAACATAGGAACCAACCGTATAAAAAATAAACTCAAACGGACAAAATATGTGACATGTAGAATTTTCCAAAACTCTACCGAAACGGACAAAATATGCCATCTATTAAAATAGGCGTAACTTTCTCATACGGACTCGGAATCAGGCAAATAATATATGAACGGACATCTACAGAAAAAGTTACATCCGATTCTCCCCCGCTTTGCCGGGTTCGGCGATATTAAAACCTCCAAATTCCGCTTGCAAGATTGTGTTTTCGAGGAGAGAAGTTTTTCGGTGGAGCTTTGGAAAATTTCACATGCCAAATATTTCATCCGTTTGAGTTTATTTTTTACGTGGTTGGTTCTTGTGAGTTCCTAAGTGTGAAAAAAATATCAAAAAAATAAAATAAAAATAAAAAAGTTGCACATCTCTTTCCTCTGCACTAGTTCGGAGAGAGGAGAGGAGAGGAAAAATTCTACATGTCACATATTACGTCCATTTGAGTTCAATTTTTCTATGGTTGGTTCTTGTGTGTCCCTAAGCGTGAAAAAAATATCAAACAAATAAAACAAAAATAAAAAATTTCGAGGGGGGGGCGCCAGCCACTCTGGCGCACTCCCCCTAGCCACCTCAGCATCGCCCCGCCACGTCGGCGGTGGGACGGCGCCAAAGAGGCTGGCGCCGTCCTGTTGAACGACGGCGCCAGGCACTCTGGCGCCCCAAAAAGGACCATTTTTGGGATAAGTTTTTCTGGGGATCTACTTGCGAAATAAGTTTTTCAAAAGGACCAAAATGTGAAAAATCCTCGGCCACCCCTCGCGCCGCCGTCCCCGCCTCCGCCTCACACCGCGGCCCCTCGCCACCGTCCCTGCGTCGCGCTCCCACCTCCGTCTCCGCCCCTCGCCGCCGCCCAGCCTCTTCCTCGCGCCGCCACCGCCGCCGCCTCCGCCTCGCACAGCCGCCATCCCCGCCTCCGCCTCCTGCCGCCGGCGTAAGAATCCAGCCTTGATGTGGTCGGGGGACAGGGATCTGACTTCCCCCGTGCACCGGGCGGTGCCGCAGCCTCCGTCCCCCGACCACATGGAAGGGGCGGCCTCGGGTGGAGCTGGTGTCGTTGCCGCGACCTCATTGGCTAAAGGCCGGCTGTCCGTCGATCTGGAGGAGTGAGAGGTGACAGCAGCAGTAAAGAGTGGGAAGGGGCTGTCGACGGCAGTATGGGGGAGAAGCGTCGGAGCCCGCTTCCCCTCCTCTCACAGGGGCCGCCGCTGTCGAACCTGTGTTACCTGGGGGCGGAGTTCAGGTTCCAGCGGGCGGAGCTCGGGGCGGAGATGATGACCGACGGTGGGGCAGTTCGATGAGCGCCATATCTGCTCTTCTACAAGGGCCCCAAGGTCTGTTCGTCCCAGGTCGATGCTAAGGAATCTGACCACCTATGTTGCTTTCTTGCCGCTGCCATCAAGACACCAAGTCGAGCTTCAAGAAGGGCGTGAGTGTTTTCCCCTTTTTTCCTGAGATAAGCTGATTAGTTGCTTTCATGTCATATTACTGAGCTTGTTGGAGTTCTTTTTTTTCTATTTAGTTTTTTGTATAGTGCAAACTGCTTGGTGGTGTGTCACTGAGGTTCCTACAGACGTACTGGATGGATGCAGATGTGGTAACAGCCTTCGAGCTAAGCCGGGCCATCGACGATGGAGTGCTGCAGCCTTTGCCCTTTGGTTCGCTGACATGCTGTTCCTTCTATGTGAGGTTGCCAGTACCACGGACTCGCCGTCAGCACTGTGCAACGTCATCCTTCTGCGCTAGACTGACTCCACCCTCTGCTGAGTGAGGTGATGCTAATCACTCATTGCCCTACAAGTGTTTGTTGAAATGCATGCTCTGTGTTGTGACTTGTGCAGTTGTGCTAATGATGGATTTTTCCTGGTGACGATTGATGCAGATCGCGTGCTTTTTCCACCGCTACAAGTCCGAGCAGCCAAGCACTTATCGCAAGAATGGTCCGTGTCTTAAAACTTTCCCAAACCGTGCATTTGTGTTGTGAGTTTGCAACTGTCTGCCTATCTGTATATACTACTACTTGAATGCACTGAAAACTTCCTCCTGTATTTTTTTTTGTTATTTACTCTACAACTGGTGGGATATCTTATATGTCATGTTGAAATGTAACCTTTTAAAGCAAAATTGCATTTGGTCGAAATGATGCTAGATGGTATGTTATTTGGATTACAGTGTGAATCAAATTAGGAGGTTGAAGCTAAGTGGTTTTGTTCAAGTTAAAGTTTTTCTATAAAATAATCTACCAAAAAGATATATATTTGATTTGCAGATATGCATTGAAAATTACACATTTGCTTGGCGGTTATACTGTTAGTCCTTATGAATTGTTTAGTTATTTAAGATGAAAGGGAAAATCATTTTATATCACAAAATTTTTTTCATGGATTGGCAACATCAAACAGAGCCTGTGGTTTGCTGTAGCAGTAGCATACTAGAAAAGTGTGTGGTGTTGATGTAGTGCCCGCATGGTTTAGCTTGACATTAAAATGATGTGCAGTCCAGATTTGAGGAACATTGTTGACAATTTGCTATCACCTATCACTGTCTGTGTTGACCACAATAATTTCAGATGTACCATCCCGTCTTCTAACTAGATAGACGCATGAAAGTTTGTTGCATCAATTCCAGCACTTCAATTTTTTGTGAAATACCATTAGAACATAACCACTTTGCTGTGATATGAAAAATAAATATTTTATTTCTTGGAAGGTTGTATGATCATGTATTCTTATACTATATTGTTCATTGATTTTCTTTTCCATTTGATTTGATTGACTAATATCTCTAAATTTTAGCTACCCTTATGGTAGCCTAAGGAAAATTGTATGTTTGACAGACCTGTTTTCTGTTGTTTGATCCCTCCAGGAAAACCAGCTGCCATTCAATATGGCACTGGTTCAGTTGATGGGTTTTTCAACGAGGATAGTGTTACAGTAGGTGATCTGGTTGTGAAAGATCAGGTATGCACTATATATCTCAGTCACTGACTATCTCTGATCATATACTCCAAAATATTTTAGCACTGTTGCTTCACCGCTTTAGGAATTCATTGAAGTTATAAAGGAGCCAAGCCATATACTTTCATGGTTGCAAAATTCGATGACATTCTTGGTCTCGGATTTCAGAAAATAGCTATTGGAGATGAGGTACCTGTGTGTTAAGACAACATGATCTATAGTGCTATGATATATTGGTAGTCTGGTCCATTCATTGCAAGCTGCTCTTTTTCTTAAATTATTTGTGTACTTTTGGGCTTTTTGCTCAATAAGGGTCAATCCTCGCAAAATATAATCTAATTCATCTCACTCCTTTTTAACTCATTAGATTATCGCTATCACCTTCTATAGAGTTCCTTGCACAGAAACCTCTGTTCTGAAAAGCTGCAAATTATTTGTAGTTATGGTGTTTTTCTTATGCATTCCATATTGGCCAAGGCACCATTGGCTATGACCAAGTAGTCTGCTCATGTGCAAGATTTGTGGGGATCAGATATGTATCATTTCTCCCTACTATTGTTTCCTAATGCGCCCTGGTGTTGTTTCCTCATTTTATTTGTTCCATCTGACCGGGCATGTTGGTTGCTATCCAGTTTTCCCTTTAGTTGGATTCCAAAAATAATTGATATCCCTTACCACCTTTTCTTTGTGATACCTGAGTCTTTTATTCAACTTGTGTATTTCACCATTGACCCTTTGCAGGTGAATATTTGGCTTTGATTGGTGAAAAATTAATGGAGCGGATATAATCGAACTTGGACTTGCTACGCGTTGTCCCATCAGTGGTGTAAGATCCTTTTGATTGCACTATAGATTTTTCATTTTTGGTGGTTTAACGCAGTAGGCTGACACTCCTTTTAACTAACCTATTGATTATTTATTCTTGGCTTGGACAATATGGGGATATTGTGTGTCCGGATAAGAGTAGGCATTATTTGTAGGTAGGACATACAAGAAGTAAATATATTTATAATTTCTACTCTGTGAAGGTATTATTAAGTGTTTTAGCATGTCATAGGCAGAAGTTGCTGGAATGGTAGATAATCATGCCCTCTTTTAAACATAGCATCGGAATTAGAGTAGAATCAAGATGCTTTCCTTTCCTTTCTATTTCAGTGTAGTACCATTATTCTGAAGAAAGACACACAAGACTATCATGGAATAGATAATCCTATATTTATAAGGCGTGTAATTCTTAATTCTTTTAATCAAGCCGAGTGCTATTTTGCTGTGGCTCATGAATCTTTGCGTTATTTGTAAAGCTGTGGTTTATATATTCCTTTGGGAGCTTGATTCTCTTCGAAATTGACTCAATCACCTGTCATTGGTGGATTACCTGTCTTCATGCACCTTTTTGCCATACATGCAAATATGTAGTGTGTAGGCCTCAGGGATAAAAATGTATTTAACAATATGGTGTATATGCAAGCTTAGGCAAAATTTTTAGCTATGAACTTACTCCTTTAGCCTTCACCTAAAAATTGCTTACTATTATTTCCCTGGGGTTGTTCTCAATTTTCTCAACATTACTCATATTCTAGACGTGTTAGTTACAACAAATAATGTGATTGCTCAGCAGGAAGTTCAAGAATATCTGAATATTTGTTGGAAAATGGTTTCTTCAATCCTTAGAATACTCTTGCACTGTTTCAGGCTTTGGTTCGCATAATAAACTGAGAAAATATTATGGGAGTCTTCTCTTCATTGCTGCCCCAGGCAACAAGGTGTATGGATATGCCATCAACCAACTCGAGAATTGCACTGTAAAATGTCAAAAACAAAATGGAAAGTATTTGTGTTCTTATCAAGGTCTTTCTGTTGAGTTTTAAGGATCAGAGTGAAGATCTCTTGATGGTCCATTTGTGTTGGTTTGGATCAACAACATGCCATGTGCTGCTGATAGTATCATGGCGGTTCTTGGGGCCAAGGTAATTGAATTCTTTGCTCTTACAATTGTTTCTCCAATAATGTTTTGTCCATATAGTATACTTTGTATTTCAAACCTATCTTCTTGGTGGGGAAAAAGATCCATATTTCCACCTAGGAAATATAGTAAGCATGTTCATTTTCTGATGCCAAACCCGTGATTAGGACTAGCCATTAGCCATAAGTATTTACTGACCAAAATGTGGACAAAAGTCCTTTTCTATAGTTGTTGAATTTACACAGATCAAGAATAAGGATATTTCTACTTGGACATGTATACAACTTTAGTTGTAAAAACTTGGATGATGTTTAGCCATTTAACCCATGGGCTGATGTCAGGTTCATATTAGTTCTACCAATTACCTCTCTATTATGATGTATGGTGCCATTGAGAATTTAAACATTTTTCAAATTTACATCTTTCTCTTTATGTTGTTATCAGCGGTGCATGACATGTGACATATTTATGCAAACTCACATCACAACATCTATGACTAATAATAGTGTAGACACTACAAATTTTGCTTTGTGTCTTCACAAATCATATATAGTCTAGGATAAAAACATTTACAGGAAGATGTCAAGTGTTTTGCTATTGTACCTAACAAAGATTTGTATTTATAGTTTTAGCTTCAACTAACCACTTGCACTTTTGGATAAATAAAGTGTTACAAAAATTAGGTAATTATATTCATAAAACATTGGCTACATGTTCATTGCACACTTTCATGCTTTATTTTGTTTGTTTGGAATTCCCGGGTCCTAAATATGCAATTTGTCAATGAAAGAAAAGCTTCAATGTTGAAAGATTTATATATTTTTTTTAGTTTTTATGATCAATTTTGTGAAGTGCGCTCACTTTTATTGAACTGAATTGTTATCATGTTTCAGCCATGCTTATCTTACTAAGTTTAAATATGTTGTAACTGTATTTTGGATCTCACAAACCCATTGAATTATCATTGATTGCCCTATCTGATGTGAGGGCATGCATGCCTTCATTTTAGAAGCATTTTCCTTTTTTTTCAATGCTGTAATTTTACCGGTTGCTTCTGACTGTTTGTGTTAAAATTTTCCAAAAATATGTCCCAAATCTTAGCAGTACAATGGTGCTTGCGTCAGATGGGAGTTTCCTAGCCAAACTAATAGACATGGAATCATTCGACCCTATCACACATTGTTTATTGAATTACGAAGTAGTCAAATGCTTATTGTTAGCTCAAGCCCACTTTATCTACAATGATGATCATTGGGTCCTTTTTTTTAATGATGAAGCAGGTCAGTACCTTTTTTAGATCCAAGTTAACAAATCTGAAATGTGGTTGCATATTCTAGAACATGATATTTTAGATGAGATCGTTGCCTTACAGCCCTGGTGGTCTATATTTGAATAGCCAAGTGGTTTATGTCTTTGTAAGATCAAACATATGAGTTACATTCCTTTTTCCTTTTCAGGGAATGCAAATTAGAAATGACATGCTTCTTTGTTACCTTCTCCTATGATCATGTTCAGCTGATTTGCTGCCCTCCTCCCTTTTCCCCTTCTGCTTCGAAGAAGTAAAACTCATGCTCTCTTTGACTAATAATGAAGACAGATAATTGGCCTATGCTTAAGGTAATCATATATTATCATCACCATGCTGGATTTTTTTAGCTAAAATACCCGGAACAAGCTCCATAGCTCATTGAATCATCATATTATGATAACTATAATAGTCCAGTAGTGTGTCTACAAGTCAAGACATCCCAAGGTATGATGCATCTAGCCAAGAATCGATGTATTCGGTTTGAATACAGTCAGAGCTTTAACAGACTAACATAAGTGTACTCTTTTACTAAATCAATTCAAGCTCTAAAAGAATTTTACAATTTTTCTTCTGCTATCACTGCTTTCTATATACGTATATGATCTTAATCTTAAAAATGGTGCTGCTGATTCTGTACCATGGTTTTCTTTCAATGACAGGACAAGAGACATTGAAGTCACCCCAACAGAGCAATGCCACCTTCCTTTTTACCGTTAGATCAATGACTTCATTACCCCCACAGGTATTTTTATTCTTATAAATTGGTATCCTCAGTTTATCGGTAAGTATTCACATGTATTATTCCTTTTTTTAAGAAAAAACATTGAATATAGCTTTGTCTTCTACACATGATTCGCTATAATAAGCACATTTATATTCTTTTGTGTTAATGATGCTTCTCCACATGATGCATTAGTTCTAAACTTATTATCGGGATTTCATGCCTCTTAGGAAAGGTTAAAAAGCATGAACATGGAGTATATTGATCGACTTATTTTTGCTGTTGAGATAATGTGATGGGTTCTGAGCTAAATCATAGAACATGTAACAAGATGAAGTTAATAGACTATTGGTCATTGACATTTACTCATTGTCATAGTTTATTTTAATTTTCTCAAGACATGATTTGAATCTGTTGCAGTGAAGATGGTCATGCTTTTCTCAGCTATGTCTTATGAATGGCATACATATAGCCATACAGGGCTAAAATTGTCATCTGGCATGGTCTCTAATTCCTGTTTACCAAGATTTTGGGGAATTTGGATATAGTTTACCGCTTTCATATAGTAATTAGTCTCTCTGGAGACTGACATCAAGAGGTAGAGTCACATGTTTCAATAATTAGTGAGTAGTCAAATGCACATTTTTCTCACCAGTTATAATCATCAAAGTTATCTGAGGACCCATCAATGTTCTTTTTCTGCCTTATATTGGTTGTATAGATGCACTTCTGCTACATCTGATTTTACTTCTTGGTTCCCTTTCTTCGTATAGACGATAGGAATGGATTTATTTTGTTTAGTTTCCTTGCGATCTTAGACTCAGATATTTCTTTGTTGATAATTAGGTACCCAAAAGCACCACAGATAATGGAGAATAAAGGTTCCAGAACAAACTAAAGATCAAAAATACAGATGGTTTTACCAGGTGTTTAGAGAGCTAGCGTTAGCCTGCCATCACATTCCATAGATGTGGGAGATCGATCTGCATGTGTGAAAAGTTCATCTAATATCTGGTTTGTTGTTTATGTTCCCATTAAGTGCAATATGTGGAGTTATATGCATGTATAGAGATCCAGCTAATAGTTTTTTTCTAATTATTACAAGGCCTTATTGTACATTAACTTGATATTTTAGCGTATTCTGTTATTACAATTTGGACATAAATAATTCTGGTTTGCTCAATACCAAATTATGTGTGATTACGGATATGCGTGACCGAAAAATACTAGCGGCTCTCAAATATAGGTAGTCTCTTATGCACGCGCGGAGCGTAGCACGCGATTATTGCTAGTATCCTTTTAAAGAGTCAATGATAGAATTTTTTAGCGCTGGCAGCATGTTTCCACGCGTAGTCAATGCCAACAATGATAATGATATAGTATGCTGGCATAGCTCATCACTCAAGCATGATTCCACCCATAGTCAATGCCAACAATGTTATGATTGAGAGGAAAGCTTCTTAGGTGCCAAAATCCGAGTTGCTAGCTGTGTGTAGATCAACTACGATCATTTATTAAGCTCTTAAGTAATTGGAAAAAAATTAGCATACCTGCTTCAAATACCAAACCAAGACTAAACCTGTCATGAAAGCGCTTGAGTCAAAGAAACCCACTGTGGCGATGTGAATGTTAACAGAACCCATCCGGCAGCCTAGAAGATGCAGTTTGAACAGCACGGTTGCTTATGGAAACTAGTATCTAGAACCAGTATTTTCCTAGAGGCTCGAGGCAATATTTAAAAGGAAAAGTACGAATTACCGCCCCCCTCCTGAACTATCGCGGTCGTCCGAATTACCCCCAATACCATAAAAAATCAGACATTCTTCACCCCCAACTATGTAAACCGGACGAATTACCACCCTCGATCTAATCTGCGGTGGTTTTGGTCTACGTGGTAGTCCAATCAGCAATTTATTTATTAAAAAATAAGTGGGCCCCACCTATCAGTTTCTCTCTCTCTTCTATCTCTTCTATATATCTCTCACGCTCTCTCTCTCTCTCTTCTCCTTCAGACGGCGATGGCGGAGGAGGCAGCGGCGTGCGCCTGCTCGTGGCCAACGACGACACGGCGCTCCTGTCCCTCGCGCTTGCCGAGATGGCGGCTGCCTGCGCCGACCTCTCGCGCTCCGTCGCGCGGCTGTCTGCGAGGTGCGCCGACCCGCTGCTCCGCCAGTTCGATGCCCCCTTCGCCGCCCTCGTCCGTGGCGGCCTCGCCGACCTGCACCGGCTGCAGTACTCCGGGGCAAGGAAATGGACCGGAAGATGCGGAATATGCAGCGGCTCGTGGCGCTTCCACGGCGCTCCTGTCCCAGGAGCTCGACGTGCTCGCCGAGCTCTAGCAGGCGGGCTGGGGGGGGGGGGGGGGGCTGTGCAGATCAGGCACCGGACGGAAGGGCACGGCCGGAGAAGGAGAGGCTGCCAAGAAGAGGGATAGGAGAGGAGGCGGAGCGACCTGACCCGTCGCGCATCAGCGGTTGCGACGTACGGACGGCGAGAGAGACAGACGAAACGAGGGCGCGCGTCAAGGCGTCTTCAAAAGAAAAAAAAAACAAGATACCGCTGCCTATGACAATGACAGGGTGGGCCCGCCAGCCACTAGCTCCCTCCCAATTCAAATGCAGATGTGCGCTTCCGTGTCCAACGTTAAAATTTATGAAAAAATTAAAATAAGTTAGGCCTTGTTTAATTCTATGGGACTAAATCCATTTGTCCCTCCATTTTAGTCCCTTTTAGTCTCTAAGAATCTAAACAGGGATGACTACAAGGATTAAGGCTATGTTCTTTTGGAGGGGGTTAGGAACCCCTCCCCTCCACACGAAAAACAGAGATAGATTAACACATGATTAATTAAGTATTAGCTATAAAAAATTTGAAAAATACCCAAACGGTTTCCAAGCTGTGGCGCAAGACACACATTTAATATAGAGAATATTTACCCTCTTACCGCTCGATGCATGTAAAAGCCCCTTGGAGTATAAAAGGAGGTTGACGTCCGGTGAGAGGGGAGGGGGGAAGTTAGAGTGTCACGCCCCGAACTAGCCCCGAGCGGAACTAGCCCGTGATGCTCCAAATTAACCTAATAACCGATACCAGTCCTAGGAGACAGTGCTGGTATCACAGGAAGACAGAATATCACAGCAACAGAGGTCTTTTTATTATAGAGTAGGATTACAGTCGTGTTGGTGTTGGTATTTCTTAACGACATTACTAGAAATATAATTTCCAGCAATGACGCAGAAATACTCCTGGTATATTATGGTTACAGAGTTCATCCGCAAGCGCACGGATATACCATTGTAGCATTTTACCCGAGAGTATTACAAGGGTATCGTATTTATTTTATCCCGTGGAAAGATCATGGTAGAGAGAACTTGACTAATAATTTATAAGTTACTTGTGATAATCATAGTCTAAGCAGGGGTTAAGATAATATAAGGGTAGAGTGACACATAAGCATTAGGCTACTCATTCTCATAATAAAATATCTAAGCTAAGTAGAAAGAAAAGAGAAAGATAATCTATTCCTACACTTCTAATATACATAGTATACATACATTCTAGTTAACTGATATCCTAGATAATACCCTCTATCCGATGCCCTCTGGTACTTCGAGAAGCCACCCCTGACTGCCGAGTTCCTTACGACAACCTGTCATGACCATACAACCAAGCCTAAATACGGAGGAATACCCTCCCCAGGGAAGTAACTTAGGATTATATACACGCGCGGAGGAATACCCGCACTGAGCTGTCACCATCAGCGGCCCACCTCTCATCCGCAGCATATAACCCCAAATAATGATATCCCATAATCTAGACACCACGTCTAAACTATCAGATACTACTCTAATATCATCGTCATGACATAGAGTAATTGCATATGCAAATATTATACCCGTACTAAACCATCTCCTAGATAAGATAGCCGAATATTCAGTATAATATGAACATAATGTAAAGTACGCATTCGTATACTCGGAAAGTATTTTAATACCATAAATGTATATAGAAGAGTATTCTAAATAGGCAAAATTTGCTACATGACATCTAAAATATGTGTAATTGGTTGGAGGACACCGTAAAATCGTGTCACTGCCAAGAGACACCACAAAAATAATGTAATTGGCTATATGACATCAGAGACATTATTTTATAATTTCCGAGCAAAAAGTGGAGAGAGAAATTTAAAAATGACAAGTTTGCCCCTGCATTGACCTGCGGTTCAGTTGCTTCCCTAATGCAACTTTTTTACTTCTGCTCGAAGAAACAAAACAAAGTGGTAGTTCAATGACTCACATAGATTCGATTAACAAAATACAAATCAGTAGAACGCAAGGAACACACGGACGTACATGATGTGGTTGTTTAACACTTAAGAGTGGTGTGCTCCCGGAAGCCAGATCTATCGGGTGCTCCTGTCGTCGTCGTCGTCATCTCGCCCGCCTGGCGACCGTCGATGACACCCTCTCGCCGCCGGCCTTTTCCACGTGCTACCTCTTCACCGCCGCACTGACGGACAGTGACGACGCGCTGTGCACAGGGTCGTCCCACCAGACGTTATCGCCGTCTCAGGCCGCGCGCTCCGTTCGCGTCACCGGGCATGCTAATGGCCAACGATGGCTCCGGCGGTGGGCACTGCAGCGGCGACGACTGTCGGAAGCTGCCACGGTGCGCAGCGCGCTGCGTCGGTCGTTCCTCCTCGAGGGATAGGCCCAGTGTTGGCCTAGCGGAAAGGATAAGAAAGGAATGAGAGCTTGGGGGAATGACACCAGCCATCGTGGTGGACCCCTGCCTGCTTGTGCTGCCGGACGACGCCGTCGAAGCCTCCGCTGCCTCCCAGCCATGGGGAAGAAAGAGCAGCCAGGGGCAAAATTGTCATTTTTAAATTTCTCTCTTCACTTTTTGCTCGGATATTATAAAATAATGTGTTCGGTGTCCTACAACCAATTACACTATTTTTAGGCAACAACACGATCTTGCGGTGTCCCTCAGCCAATTACACAAATTTTGGATGTCCTATAGCAAATTTTGCCTTCTAAATAAAGTACAAAGCTTACAAAAGAGGAAAGGAAAGCTAGTAGAGCCATACCCGAACTCTTCCGAAGACTTCCGGACTCCTGATTTCTACTCTATTCCAATTCCACTAGCTTGAGAACACTAAACTAACTTGAAAGAATATGAGAGAGCTCTTGCTTGAGGTGTGCGAGTGAAGTGAGGATGAGAGCTCCTTTTATAGCCTCCCAATGACGGTTGTGACGGTTGGAAAGGTCGGTAATACCCACCAATCGTCATTGGGGAGCCATCTTAGCCGTCCAGGAGAACCCTAGATCGTGTGGCGCTGTGGGGGGTTCGGCCGAACCATGGGCTGGGCCGACCTGGCCCAATTTCGGCAGGCAGCCTACTCTTTTGCTCTCACATACAAACTTGTGAATTTTGGCCCAATTCATCATGTTAATTCTGAGTTATTGGCCCATTCATGCATAAGTCTGATTCTCGACATCTTCCGATTGATTTATCGTTTGAGTTGATGTCGATTCTCCTTCGCTTTATGGTTATTCTCTGCAAAAGGTTAGTGAACCAAATACTAGTGGAATATTATTATTCTAACATGTTTATGCATTGCAAACATCACTAGTTCTCCTCTATTTCGGTAATATTGACAGTCAAAACTGATCGATAACGACCGTCAACAGTTGGGCTGCGGACAGACCCCGAGCTCACAACTGCATTACAAAAGGGAAAGCGGAAGCCAAGACTTCGACCATTCATCACAAGCGTGACTTGGGAACTAGGCCGAAACCTTAAAACTCTTCATAGCCGACTTGCTCCTGGAAGAACTCCTCGTCAGCGGGATCCATCTCATCTTCTTCAGCAACTGGGGGGATTATTTACATAGAGCAAGGGTGAGTACAGGAGTACTCAGCAAGCCATGGGAATTATATGTTTAATGAAGGTTTCAAGGAGAGGCTATTTGTTTTCACAATTGATTTTAGTTAAATTCCTTTTTAAACAACAAAGTGAGTGCTTCTCAAACAACACGGATGAGACAGTGTGTCTCGTCCGGTCGGAGCATGTGCAATGTATCAGTCTTTGATTGATTCAAGGTTGGCACCTGGCCAACAATTTTCAAATGACCACCCGGACCTAGCTGATCCCGTCAGCCACAGAAGTTCCAAACATCGATCCCATT